CAGCAGATCGAATCCCGCCGCCAGAGAAGGCTATACCTTTCGGGAATAACATTGCCGCGAATTTTGACAGAAGTCTTACTTTGTTGTCAAAAGCCTTGTTAATTTTTATCCCTTCTCTAGCTCAGTCGTCTCTTGGAGTTGTGAGCGTCTAAATTAACGTTCACTTTTGTCTCATTTATTTGTCATTTCCTGTTCTAATTTTATCCAAGCCTTGAGGTTACAACTGTGTCGCACACAATGGGGCAGATGAAAATTAAACTTATTCTACATGGAAATGTAAATATAGAAATAGATGTCGCTTAAATATGACTTGTGGACACATCTGCTGAAACGTTTATATCAAATTCTCCATGAAATCATTTTTAACAACATTCTCCACTTTAAATTACGAGGAAAATACCAGATATGATTAAAAAAGAACATGCAAGTGTTTGGGTTCCTTTGAAATAAACAATTATATGGTAATTTATTTGGTTTCAAAAGAATGATTTAGCTACACAGAATTATTTTGGCTAAAATAAGTAATGATACAAATTTAATCTGGTAATATGATTTTTAAGAAATTTCGAACGAGAATGAATTCATCTTCCCATGAGAGATTTTAATCAAATGTCATCGTATAAGTGCGCTTAATTAGCAGAACAAATTTTTTTGAAGAAAAGTTACCTTCTTAGCGCTGGCGCAAAGATTGGGACATTTCTATTAAAATTTGTCATAGTACAATTATGGTATAACGTTTGTTTTTCAGCGAGGTGTTAGTTAGACTAAATTTCTCTCGTAAGTTTTCTTTCAATTTCTTCAGAAATGAGCGAATTTCTTTGGAGAAACACTGTTGCCTTGACAACAGTTAGTCTGTGTCAGACTATGTGGCAAATAAAAGCGGGGGAGGACAGATCCTAGGAACGAGGTTGGCCGTCAAATTGCGGTGACAAGTGGAAAAGCGAGGTGAGAAAAAGGAGAAACGGTTGGAGGGGAGGGGAGGGGGGGAAGAGAAAAACCTCACAGATTTTTGTCGCTCGCTCATTCGTTTGGTCTAAGAGGCTAGGTAGGGAACAGAACATCCTTGCAGACTCTGTATTGTCGATTGGATTCGCTTCTTTTATCTATTTTTGTCTTGGAATACTACGTGCTCGCAAGACCAAAACATTTGGAAAAAAATTAGTGATCATTTGTTTGAGGAGCATTGCCGAGCTCCACAACGGCTATCACCCGGCTGTTCTCACAGATAGTCCATATCGACTCCTGAACTCCTAATTTTTGTGTTCCAGTATTCATGTTAACATTTAGATCTCAACTGAGTTCTGAACTTCAAAGTGGTCGATTAACAGTTTGTTACTATCAAAATTACAGTCACATTATAAAATGTAACGACTACCAAGCAATTTTTTTAAAGAATTACCAACACGTGTTTATATATTGACATTCCTTTAACTGTTTATAACCATTTCTGGTCTTTCCCCTCAGTCTTGTCCCCCCCCCCCCCCCTTCCAGCCTTTTGCTGTCCCTAACTTTTGAGATATTCTACAGTCGCAAAGTAGTTTTTAAATGAGTATTGCCAGCATGATCGGTGCAAGCATTCGTGAAGCCCTCTCAAGCAATCAAAGCAAAACTGAAGCCAATAACGACTTGGTCGTTGGTTACATGTTTTTAGGGCTGGTTTCCAGCCACCTCTTTGTGAAGTTAAACTCTGATATTATAGGAATATGTGTTTTTTTGACTTTACATTTTTACACTTGACTGAAAAGCGTTCTAAAGCACGTTAATTGTGACAGTCAAGTTATGCCATTATCGGCTGGCCAGTCTTTGAAAAACTAGAGTAAAATTGTAAAACCAAACCACAGTAGCTGAGAGTCAAAGATGTAAGCTACTGATCTCCTGCGCTTTCATATCCGATACGGAGCCGGCAGGCCGTCTTTTAGCCGCATTGCTTTGACTATGAGACAATTCTGCACCAGTTCTCCATTCTCTCCTGCACAAAAGCTTTCTGAACGCGCGTCTAAACTCTGAGCCCGTAAACGCGTACAGCAGCGGATTGAGCGAAGAATGCAGGTATGCAAGCCAGCACGTGACAGTATCAACAAGCTCCACTGCGCATGTCTCTACACCTTCGTCGATAAGAATCACAACATTAATGATTTCAAAAGGCAACCAGCAGATAACAAAGCACAGCACCACGATCCCAAGCATCTTAGCGATTCTCAGTTCCCGTCCAAAAGAAGTCGTTCGCGATGACGCCACTGACGAAGCCCTATTTGATGACGTCATGGTATTAACCCCAGTACGCTGGGCGTGCCCTTTAGCGATTGTATAAATCTTGAAATACAAAATCATCATAATAAGAAAGGGGAAGATAACATTTCCGATGAGGAGGAAACCATGAACAAACGGGTTCAAGTCAAAACTATAAGTCTCGTCTTTCGGCGGATCTAACAAAAAAAGCAATAAAATTGCAATACTGAAAGAGTACAGCCAAACACTGGCTATCATGGATTTGGCCACCTTCGACGTCATCCATATGGTATAGCGAAGTGGATATACCACGGCTAAATAGCGGTCTATACTTATTGCTGTAAGATTTAACACGGAAGCTGTTAGGAAAAGAAAAAATGACGCGTTCCATAGATTGCACACGTACCCACCCAAAGGCCACCTGGGGAAGGTTATCCAGTATATGACGTCAAACGGCAGAACGAAGACCGCGACCATTATGTCTGACAGGGCAAGGCTGACTATGAAATGCTCCGAATATGAATGCAGATACGAAAATTTTACACTTGCTATGCACACGAGCGTGTTGCCAAAAAGAGAAGTAATCATAATCATAAACATAAATACTTAACCGGCGAATGTCAATCCAGAGCCAAGATGATTCTCGCAAAGAAGTAAATCGAAGCCATGATCTTGAAACGGATCCGATTCATTTCCCATTTGTAAGGTACCTTGTGGTCGTCGCTGCTTCAGCGAGGAAAGCTTAAAAGACGAAACCATGAAAATTGGAAATGCTGAGTTATGCTTCAAAATTAAGAAAATGAAAGTTTCAATCAACAGGAGTACCGATAAATCTGAACAAACTGTAAAGATACCTTCAAAATACTCACTGTCAGCTTTTTGATAAAGGCGTTTACCACAAACAAGATTTTAAAGTCGAAGGTTGTATGTTTCTTCTTTTCAACTCAATAGTTCTCCGAGTTAAACAGATGCGTTGCTCTTAATTTACGGTTCAACAAGCGACTCTAACCGAACCAAGTCAACAGCATATAAATCCGCCAGATGGTAAACGGTTATGTACCGCCGAGTATTTGAGTAAAGTGAAAATGAAGTTATCAACTGCATAAATTAAATGTACTCCTGTCGTATCTATGTTGTTTATCAGCCTTCAGAGGTATTGTTCCCAAAATTGCTGTTATTAAGCGGCGGATCTCTCTTTACAAGAAGACGCGCGTTATATTAGCTCATCAGCCAATCCCTGCGTAAATTAGATCTTCGGTGCTCTCAAAACTACAGGAGAAGTAGCCACCTTATCTCAATCATTCCCTGACACAAGATGTTTCGTCTATGTGTGATTCACTCACTCAACTGGTAAACTCTAACTGAGTGTTCTTTTCACAAAAGCCTTCGATGTACCAATTCCTTATGCATCCTTTCCCTACGACTAAGCTCTATCTGAAGATACCTATTTTAATTTAAAATAAATCCAATACCAGTAAAGCATATGTTATCATTATTTTAAAGTTGACGGTGCAAACAGCCCCGCCCATAGCGAAAATTGATCCTTCTCTACAACTGCGCACGACATTATTTTCACTAAAAGAGCAAACACTGTATAATTCTGAATGAGATGTTGCTTTTCATTAAACAAAATATACACCTGTTCTTACAAATCTTTGAATAATTATTGTGATTTTGCAATCGACCTTCAAAATCCCTTCGAGTCTTAGCGGCTTATTTAAAAGTATTTTAAATTTTGCTACAACTTCCAAGAGTATAAATTGATTGACGTTAAACACACCGTCGATTTTTCACAACTTTTTCGCCGTGTTGTCATCATCAACTGCTGTACAAATATATTGAAATTGCGGTTTTGTCGGCTACCAATTTGTTTGTGAAAAATTGTGCGGTTAGGGATATTAATAGCAAATTTAATATCTTCTTTGAGTGAAAAAGTAAAAAAAAAAGGGCTAATGCATTTTTTCTAAAAATTAAGAAAAATCGTCGGACACTGATGTATTAATTGTGGACATTTGCTCGACGATCTTAATGACTTTGGGTCAATCACGATTTCGAATATAAATGTCATCATATTGACTCTTCATTGCTGTAAGAATTTTCCACTTCTCTGATGCATGTATTAAGAGACTAAATGCCGCCAATCGTTTGCTTTTTTTTAAAAAAAAAAAAAACGTTCATTTTTATGAACATATAACGTGCAAAAAGGTTCTTATCACCTAGATTTTATTTCCGAGCTTAAAAAAAAAAAAATTAAAAAAATCACCGACTGATCGCCCACCCACGCTGCTTTTCATATAACTGTCAATCAAGTTGGAGACAAATAAATCGTTCTGAATAACGCTTTGTTTATATTTAATTTCAAGAAATTAGCAGTTTGCATTGTGGACTGAAAACTAATATACCGGATCAATTTTGAAACACGAGTCGTAACGTTTAAATTTTCTTGATGTTCTTAAACAAACAGAGAGGAATGTACAAAGTTATCTAATTAACTGAAATCCTTGATTCTTTTCTTCAATTTTCGTTTGGATCCAAAATAATGAATACAATGTCGGAGATTAGTGAGACTAGTGCAACAATAGTTTACACCAATTTGCTCATTGCTGAAGTTAATCACTTGCAAATCACTAAATGTTCTTGAAACACAACAGAAATATCCAACCGTTCCCGACAAACCTAGGGGCCAGATCCGACATCCCGACGACACTCACGCGATGGTCGATATTCATTCCCAATCCTCTTCATATTTGAGTTAATCCCAGCATGCCTTCCGCTCTTGGAAATGAAACGTCACCAAAATCCAAGATGGATTCCGCAGTTCTTGTAAGGGATCTGAATTTCTTCTAAGGAGTTTCGTCGTTATACTGAATATTTAGGAAACTTTTGTATTAGATAGTAACGTACGTATATGAAAAGTTTCGAAACGCTTGGGAACACGCGAGTTATTCTTTCGATTCAGTGCTCTGTTCGCTAATTTATCCGCTCGATGCAAAGCTGTAGTAGGGAACGGCTTTCGGTGTTGTGGTCGATGTTTGACAAAATGGTTCGCTTATCCACAATTTAGAAGTCTTACCACTGATTATTCTTGTTTTTCATACAATAGGAAGCATCCCTGTACACAGTTAAAGCGATTGCAATTCTGGATAATGATGGTGAACGAGTAGTTGCGAAGGTAGATAAGATTTACTTTATCAATTCAACATATTTATGGCCTCATGTGTTGCCTACATGAACATCGTACATGTGAACTTGATATTATTTTTACTCTACTAAGATTATAAGTTGGGTTTATTTTATTTAAGGAATTTCGACTCACATATTCAGCTGTTAAGCTTGACATGATTTTTAATTTTTTTTCTACTGTTGTAAACAATGTTCGTTCCATGAGGTTATTTCACATAATGTTTAGATGAGAGACCTCTTATTAAAACTGATAAAGTCTCCTTTGAATGGTCAGGGTCTTGTAAGTACCTAAAACTAAAAAATATAAAAATTTTAAAATAAAAATATAAATTATGTATTTTTTCAGCCATAAACCTGAATGTGAAAAAGTACATAAGTAAATTTCCAATTCTTTTTATTTACATTATAGTACTATGATGACCAATACCAAACCACAAAGGAACAGAAAGAGTTTGAAAAGAATCTTTTCAACAAAACACACAGAGCAAATGGTGAGCTTTCTTATCAATGTTATAATATTAAAATCACACTGCTTTGCCAAGTTGAAATACTTCTAGTCAGAAGGACTGCTGTTCAACTTAGGTGACTATTTTTTTGGTAACCTGTCACGATGACCAAAACAGACACTTTGGAGAACTGATTGCATGTTCCCTTTTTTTTTTCATGTCATACTTTTTCATAAATGTGCAAGGCATAGAGATGACCACTATTTTTCCTTCACTGATTGCATCTTTGTTTTTCTCTTTTCAGCTGAAATTATAATGTTAGATGGCTTGACGTGTGTGTATAGAAGTAATGTGGATCTCTTCTTTTATGTTATGGGTTCTTCCAATGAAAATGAGGTAAATGTCTTAATTGGGTTTCAAATGGTATATTTATTTACTGTTTGTGGCAGAAAATTAGTAAATTTTCACAGATATACACTGTATTAACCCTTAACTCCTAGATCAAATTTGTAATTCTCCTTACTGTCAACCATGCTCGCCTCTCGAGCTTTCCACGCGCTCGCGTCGTGCTTGTCCTCGCTCGCCTTAAAAAGACCGACGCATTCCCTGTTGGTTAATGCATTGGTCTTGCTTTACATTTACACACTCGGTCATCTGACGCGTTTCACACCAATTGCACGTCAGCGAAAACGTTTTATGGATTGTGAACATTGTAATGCTCTATTTCTTCTTGCAGGCTCTTTCCAGTGTGTGTGATGACCGCGCGCACGATGTGACTCTGCCCATTTTATACCGCTCCAAAAGCGCCGATGCTCTGATCCCGCGTCGGAAAAGCATGGCTATTCTTTCATGACGAATTTTTCCAAACCGTGAAGGGTAAAATAGCGGGTGATAAGTCACAAGAGACCTGTTAGACGAGAGGAGCTTTACAAGCACAGTGTGCTCGGGGGGTGTTGTTTAGGTCTGTTGAGTAGCGCTGGTTTACACCTGGGGAGGCCAAAATGTCGGTTGGACATCTGGGAAAAATTGACGACCACGCCTTGCGTGACCGCTTTCGCACCTCGCGTGACCGCTTGATCAGCTTCATGTGTCCCGCAATCTTCCATGCGCATTGAGGAAACACACATCCGCGTCACTTTGAGGATCTTGTACATTGGTAGCTTATTTAAAAGGGTCTTTTTCCTGGCCCCATCGTTTCCAACAATGGCACAACTGTAGCATATTAGCGTTGCATTCACATTTCAAGCACCGACACTAAATCACTATAAAAGACACGGCTACGTAGGGGAAAGACAAGGCCACAGTTGAAGACTTCACCATACTAAATTTATAAAAAGAAAAGACTATAATCAGCCCAAAGCATTTTGATTCTGGAGTGATACTTGGTTTTTTTGATGATCATCCAAGTAGTTTTGTCGACATCGAGGTTGTTTTAGTTGTAACTGTTTCCACCGGTTGATTTCTAAGGAAAAATTTCGTGATGAAGGAATAGTCGCTGACTGTTTGTCACGTACGTAACCTTGCCTTTCCTACGCCACTCCTAGAGAGTCATGTGATTAGACCCGGACTCTTTTCGAATTACATTAATCAGAAGAAGTTTGAATGTGACCCGATATGGAGGTTTTTTGCGAGAAGTTTAACCAATACAAATAAAACCAGTCACCGACAAGATTCAGTTATTTCAATGACGTCTGACCTTCTGGGTCACTGGAATTCTGGAGAGTTTGTTTCTCAGACACTCTGTCTTAGTTTGGGACTACACGCGATACTGCAATTAATTGCTGGCCAGCATCATCTTTCAGTTCATATGACTCTTTGCCGAGTATTTTTTTTAATGATATTTTGACGATTTTGCCCAGAGCAAAAATGTGAGGGGCGTTTTTCTTTGAAGTCAGACTTGCGAATCGAAGTGTCAGATTAGTATATTTTAAGCCTGAAAATTGCGTTGAAGAACGTTTTTATGTTTTTATTGCGTTCAAAACAATTTTACACTCCTTGGTAACCCCAACCACCAAATATGGATGTGATTGTCTCTAAGATGAATAAATGCGTCTCAACCAGTAACGATTTTAAATTTATTTTTTCAAGTAAGACCTTTAGTCCCAGCTTTATTCTAGAATTATTGTCCCTGGAGGGTAGGTGCGAGGACACGCATTACTTCTCTCTAGCCCTCTCTTGTTGCGTCCATGCACATCTCCCGCCCCTCGTCCGCGTACGTGTCCTTCCCCTCACCCGCGCACGTCTCCCGCTCTTCATCCGCGCACGTATCCCGACCCTCGTGCTTAGCTCCATCTAGTAACTGCAAGAAGTCATGACGCCTGTTGTTTTGGCTTACGTCCGTGCGACAGAATCCCGTCGCCGCAACAATTTTCGTAAAAATTGAAGCGCTTAAAAAAACTTGTTGTGGAAGCTGTGCTCAAGACTCGATTTGTAGCAAAGAGACGGAGCAATTCAGATTGTTCACTCCCTCTTCGTCAGCGGGATCTGTCGCCTGATTCAAAATAAGAAGGGGAAAAATATCCAGGCGACGAATGAACTCTGGGAAGAAAGTCAAATCTCAGAGTTCATACGGTGCCGGTGCCAATCATTTTCACATCATCCTTATGCCGTTTCGGGAGGTTTGGGTACTAAACTACCATTATCCACTGCTTATTTCTTTTCACCAGTCTCTTCGGTTAAAAACTGCCCAATTTCGGCGTCTAGACACGCGCGGTAGCCCTCCCTGTGGTAAGCACTAAATAATGCGGGGGTGAAGAACTGGTTGAGAGTCGCGTGATGAGGAAAGAATCCACACAAAATCCTGAAAAGAAGACAGATCATCTTAAAGTAATCACGAACATAAATTACTTCAGTCCGCATCGAAAAATATCTGCGTTCTTAAAGCAATGTTCTCTATAGCTATTGTCTCAGGTCACAAGACTTTAGACCAAATAAGCCGATTGAAGAACACGAACAGTTCGGGTTCGCTCATAGGTTTGATATCCGAAAAACGTCATTCTTACCCAGAACAGCTTTTACAGCAAGTCACGTGACAGCATTCACAACAGCAGCCACTCAGTCGGTCGACTTCCCCCGCTTCAAGGTCAGGACCGGTTCCCCAGTACTCATTGTTGATTGGTTGATGAGTGTGACGCAGGCAATCCTTCCATGATCGCGACGATCCAGTTGAGTTGGATATACCTTTCAGAAAGGAAAGTTAAAAATCTTGTCATTGATACAGGAAGTATGAAATGAAATCTCAAAAATATAATGCTACTCACCCTCGTCTGGATGTCGAGGCAGTATAAGTAAAATCTCCCCTTCCCCGACCTTCTCATCGCTCAAGCAATCCATATTTTTCTCATAGTAATCAACCCTGAACTTGTAGAACCGAGGCTTATAATTGTCGGGCATTTCCTCGAGCTTGCTTCGGATGTCCTCGACGATGTCTCGACCGTCCATCGCACTAAAAGAACACCGCAGCCTCTTTCGCGCCAAATCAAGCGACCGGAGTAATTGAGTGGAAACGGGATTGCCTTCCCCCATGCTGCATCCGTCGACTACTACGATTTTCTTCAGCCTCTTTTTCAAGAGTGCCAATAGTCCCAGCTGCTCGATGTGACCGCCATCACTAAGGTTGAGGAGAGGCGGGGGAACTGGACCGAGATCGACAGTCCGAAGTAACAGGCGTGCAAATCGGACATGGTAGATGTTTACAACACACCATCTGAAAGCAACAAACACAAATAAAGCCGTAATTCAAATAACTATTGCTTGGCGGAATATAAACTAACCAGTGACCGATCAGGATAAAGGAAAGAAGCAAATTACAAGGAGCTAGTCACATCACATTACAAGCAAACTGTCTTAAAGGTGGGAAAGTGTCGCAATTGCAGCCATGGTTGAGAGAGTAGCACAAGCAAAACCGCTGAAATACCGGATAGGTTCTAAAACTCTTTTTAACCTTGCTTTATGCAATGTTTGAGTTTATTCTATTATTTGAAAGCTTTGAAGAAGGAATTTTACATTCAGCGACTCTGTTACCTCACAAACTTGTCGGCGCATCCGCCATTTTCTGGGCCCGTTGGCAAAGCAGCGGTAACCATCACCAGGACAACAATAGATAGATACCAGACCACCAAAATAGCATGCCAGTCATGACTCAAAAATGGCGGGAGAATTAGGGGAACCACAATAAACAGCTGTATAATGACAGGCAGGAACTGGAGGAAACGAAATATAATGTTGGCACTTTGTGACAAGATCAGATTAAGCAGTAGCTGTCTGGTTTTATTTTTATTTAATGACTAAGGTTAAGGGTTATAGTTTCAGTTTGCCTCGTACCGGAGATCTATCTATTAAACAACCAATAGGCACTCAAATGAGGAAAGGAACGCTTTTCCCCTTCTTCCCGTGGTCCCTTGCGCTTCGCGCTTGTTTCTCAGAGTGTAGGTTGATGTCATGGTTGCGTGACATCATAATTGAAAAGCAACACCGCACTTCTGTTGAAGGAGGCTACAGGATTTTAGTTTGATACGACAGTTTAACACAAATGAGGAAGTGATAAACCAAGAATGGACAAGCATGGCTGAGGAGATCTAAGGATGGTGAAGATTGACGTGGATTAAAAATGCAATAACCGTAAGGAACTTCCTAAGATGACGTCATAACTTGTAACCGGAATTCGAAGGATGATCCAGGCTCAGTCTTCGCTCCTATATAAAGTCAATGATCCAAATTTCTTTGTTAGGGCAAAAGAAACTTACCCTACAACAAAAAATTGTTGATCCTGCCACATCTCTGTCTGGATCTGATATCAGGGATTTTCCACAATGCACCCCCAACACCATTTGAAGGTTACGCACTGCCTCGGTCTTGACGTCATACACGCCCATGTACAGCGCCAGAACAGCCGCTGATGTTGCCATGACATCAGACAGTGGAAGACCACGTGGTTGGATTTTTCCTGTTGGATACATCGTAAAGCTTGTCTTATTGAGATTATAAGAATTTTTTTGTTGGCGCCTACAGTGAAATAAAAATGCGTCATTGACCAAGCGGGAGGTCAAGATAGCTGGATATTGGCAAAGTTTTTTTTTTGCGTATGTTTTCGGGAGGCGAGACGTAATCATCTTTAAAAAACATCACCGCTTGTCTATTTGTCAAAAAAATACTGTGGAGATAATAATTGCAGTACCGGCAAAGCTGTTGTGTTCCTCCGGATTCTCGTCCAGTCTTTCTATCCCCGTGGGAGACAGAGTGAGAAGCTCATAGGAGTCCGAGCGGACCCCAACAGGTTCCTTCTGCCAGTTGTTCACAACTGTGTTACAAATATATTCCGGTTTCATATCTGCAAGGTCACCTATCAAAAGCAAGTAGGATGAGGAGAAAAATCAATCCAACAGAGCAGTCGTAATTACTTCATTTGTTTACCGGAACCGAGTTTTACGCGAACGTGCCCGAGGTTGACCTGAAAAGTACTTCGCTTTGATCCGACTCTGACCAGGACTGGCCTGAGTTTGGCTCGAATAGAAATCAGATTAGATAATGCGGAAAAGGTATGAAATTAAACCAGCACCTTGCCCCCATGTATTTTAGGGGTTTTATTTTTTGGCTTCAAATGGTACATCAGTTTTATCTGCTTCAAATATTTTCGACTGCTCTAACTAAGTCGATCTAAGTCAAGCATGAGAGCTCGAGGATTCTCTCCAGCGTGAGTCCGGAAACATTTTCGACAAAACATTACAAACCGGCTCTTCTCTCATTTGATCAAATTAACATCTATATACTGTACCATGCAGAAATGATTAAATTGTCTTTGACTCAAGTATTGAATAAAATAAAAAGACCGTTTAGTTGAAACTTTTTCCTCATCAATTATTTTTTGAAAAACGCACTCACCCAGAGTAACGAATCCTTTGTCCAGTCTCTCCCACTCAGGAGTGTCTGCACATGAGCAAAACGGTATGACATCGTTGAAGGATATCCCAGAACATCCTAAGCACCCGGTGCTCTGAGGTGCGAAAAAAGCCTTTTGAAGACGCCATCTTGGAAAAGAAAACAAAATCTATACGTTAAGATAATTTCCCACCTACGCGGGTGTCCTTTGAGAAAAAATTCGTAAGCGCGCTAGTTTCACTAAAATCCTAGCAAAATATTCATCAGAAGAAAGCTTAGTAAATGCAGTTTACGATAAAAATATAATTTAAGCGAGTTTTCCTTTCAGGAAGTGTTAGAAGCCGGTGGGGCGTGAAACGGCTGAGGGTTCTTCTATTGAATTTATCGGGTATCGGATGCCGCAGCACGAGATTTTAACTCAGAAAGGTTCGTAAACAACTCGCGCCACGTCAGGAGATGATCTCACCTCCTAAAACTGCAAACCAATGGGACATCGGGACCTCCTGGCGTCACTGACGATGGATCAAAATTTTACGGGAAAAGTAACCCATGGTAGACACGTTTTTATCTCGATCGCCCAGGGGAGCATTGAGGAGAACGACGCAATAATAAGCAAAAAGCTACAGGCAAAGGAAAATACCGCGGTAAAAATGGAAAATGTGCTGAGAGGAAAGACAACGACTCGACAGACAACTTTCAAACTTACGATTCGAAGCGATTGTTAATGTTTTTGTATCAAGGCTAGTACTTGCATAAATAAAAAGAAACCCGATTTTTAACTTTATGAATGACAAATTTTGGTTAGACGGCGAACTCTTTGTTCGAGATCTGGACGCTACGTGGAGCTTCGCCAGTGCTGGTTGTTTTCACCAAGAATTTTATTTCTGTCCTTGACAGAATGGTACTCTTTCTGTCTTCTTTGGACCTTCTTTTTCTTTTTCTTCTTTGAAGGAAAAAAAGACTTTCTTTTGCTTTTGATTTTTCCATGAGCAAAGATTTTTCCAAAAGGAAAGAGCTTCCACGAGTGAATATTGTCAATTGCGCAATAGAAAAACATGCCCCAAGATGTGCAGTTGCTACGAAAACTCCCCCGGGGAGTTCGCCCAGGTGCGAGATTATGACACGTTCCTGAGTTATTAGCTTTTATTTTAAAAAAACGTTTTTCCAAAGAACTCGGGTGCTTTTGGAGATTTGATAAATTTTTCTTTTGGAATCGTTATGTAAAATGTTCGAATTCAGTTTAGTCAAATAAAAGGAAAAATTATTTTTTCGGCCCCTCAAGGTGCGAAGTAACTTTAAAGGGGTGCAGGTTTATCATCACAGAGCAGGTTGCTTGTCAAACCCTCCAAAAACTTCGGTCAAGGCTAGATCTTTACATGAGACATGTTATAGATAAAAGTTTCTTTTAAGAAATAAGAATTGCGCACTGTGAATTGTAAGAGACGGCATGTTTTACTGATCGACTTCCGCGGTGCGGTCGATTGCGTAAGCTCATTTCCCGAGAGGCGGCCGGCAGTGCAGCCTGGGGGAAGCACTTGATGGAAGTGTTCAGTTTTCAAGGCAACGTACTGAAGTTGCGCACGTTGCGCAAAACTTCAGTAAGTTACCTCGGAAACCGAATGAGCGAGGAAAGATACAGAATACCATTTGTGGAAATTTAATTCGCACATTTTTCACAAAAGATAATTAGTCCTTTTTAGAATGATACCAATTCGTTTTCATTATTTTTCCAAAATTACTTGTTTTAGAACAAGAAGTGTTAATTTACACATTTGTCTATAGGTTGCCTGTTTTTTTTATCACTAATATCAAAGCTAAAGATAACATAGTTCACAATGGCTCACCTGTTGTATGTATGTACTGCGCCCATATTTAAAAGTCCTAAAAAGGGTGTCATCCAAAGAAGTATGGCAGATCCGAGAAGAGCCTCGTAAAAGAGATCCTCTGAATAACTGATGAATAAAACTGGACTTTTATACACTCGCCATTTTGTTACATAGGCATAAGCATACACCAACAGGGCTAAAGAGGCGGTGTTTCTGAGTGGCGGAAACCCAAGCCATAGAGCAATGCTTCCGAGTAAGAGAAAGCCGTTGACATACACTGAAGTATGTACCCTTAAAAATACTTCAAAAAACCATGGCAGAAAAGTCATTAAAAGCATAGAACCAGCGCTTACATAAAACACCTTAAGATTGTTACGGATAGAGAAATGACGGGGGTGGAAAAGAGATTTTAACACATAGAATCCCGCGCAGCTTGCGAAAAGAACACCAAAAAGAGTAAAAGTGTCATCATGGCTCTGTACGAACTGACAACCTTCGCTTTCTGCGGCATCTTTGGGTGCGGAGTGATTAGGGCAGTGAAATCCTGCGCGAAGTATATCACCAAAAATGTAATCCACCGAGAAAGCTGTGGGTAGAGCAAAAGCAAGAGATGTGAAAGCGGGAAGGATGATAACCACTACAATGCAGAGAAGAACCAACATTATGGAATCAATGATTCCAAGGAAGGGGTTCCTCCAGGAGCAGAAGAAACCGCTACGCTTCCGCAAGTGATTGAAAAACTTCCGGTGCCATTCTGGGCTGTCTTGTTGATTGTGGTGATACTTCCAGTCGAGGTAGGAAGCCCCGGTAAAACCACCGCCTGAAACACAGCTCAAGTAATCCAAGTCGATCTCATCTTGAAGAACATAGCGCAACACACCAGAACAAAATGCAGCAGATCGAATCCCGCCGCCAGAGAAGGCTATACCTTTCGGGAATAACATTGCCGCGAATTTTGACAGAAGTCTTACTTTGTTGTCAAAAGCCTTGTCAATTTTTATCCCTTCTCTAGCTCAGTCGTCTCTTGGAGTTGTGAGCGTCTAAATTAACGTTCACTTTTGTCTCATTTATTTGTCATTTCCTGTTCTAATTTTATTCAAGCCTTGAGGTTACAACTGTGCCGCACACAATGGGGCAAGATGAAAATTAAGCTTATTCTTCATGGAAATGTAAATATAGAAATAGATGTCGCTTAAATATGACTTGTGGACACATCTGCTGAAACGTTTATATCAAATTCTCCGTGAAATCATTTTTAACGACATTCTCCACTTTAAATTACGAGGAAAATACCAGATATGATTAAAAAAGAACATGTAAGTGTTTGGGTTCCTTTGAAATAAACAATTACATGGTAATTTACTTGGTTTCAAAAGAATGACGTGTCCACACAGAATTATTTTGGCTAAAATAAGTAATGATACAAATTTAATCTGGTAATATGATTTTTAAGAAATTTCGAACGAGAATGAATTCATCTTCCCATGAGAGATTTTAATCAAATGTCATCGTATAAGTGCGCTTAATTAGCAGAACAATTTTTTTTGAAGAAAAGTTACCTTCTTAGCGCTGGCGCAAAGATTGGGACATTTCTATTAAAATTTGTCATAGTACAATTATGGTATAACGTTTGTTTTTCAGCGAGGTGTTAGTTAGACTAAATTTCTCTCGTAAGTTTTCTTTCAATTTCTTCAGAAATGAGCGAATTTCTTTGGAGAAACACTGTTGCCTTGACAACAGTTAGTCTGTGTCAGACTATGTGGCAAATAAAAGCGGGGGAGGACAGATCCTAGGAACGAGGTTGGCCGTCAAATTGCGGTGACAAGTGGAAAAGCGAGGTGAGAAAAAGGAGAAACGGTTGGAGGGGAGGGGAGGGGGGGAAGAGAAAAACCTCACAGATTTTTGTCGCTCGCTCATTCGTTTGGTCTAAGAGGCTAGGTAGGGAACAGAACATCCTTGCAGACTCTGTATTGTCGATTGGATCTTATTCGCTTCTTTTATCTATTTTTGTCTTGGAATACTACGTGCTCGCAAGACCAAAACATTTGGAAAAAAATTAGTGATCATTTGTTTGAGGAGCATTGCCGAGCTCCACAACGGCTATCACCCGGCTGTTCTCACAGATAGTCCATATCGACTCCTGAACTCCTAATTTTTGTGTTCCAGTATTCATGTTAACATTTAGATCTCAACTGAGTTCTGAACTTCAAAGTGGTCGATTAACAGTTTGTTACTATCAAAATTACAGTCACATTATAAAATGTAACGACTACCAAGCAATTTTTTTAAAGAATTACCAACACGTGTTTATATATTGACATTCCTTTAACTGTTTATAACCATTTCTGGTCTTTCCCCTCAGTCTTGTCTCCCCCCCCCCCTTCCAGCCTTTTGCTGTCCCTAACTTTTGAGATATTCTACAGTCGCAAAGTAGTTTTTAAATGAGTATTGCCAGCATGATCGGTGCAAGCATTCGTGAAGCCCTCTCAAGCAATCAAAGCAAAACTGAAGCCAATAACGACTTGGTCGTTGGTTACATGTTTTTAGGGCTGGTTTCCAGCCACCTCTTTGTGAAGTTAAACTCTGATATTATAGGAATATGTGTTTTTTTGACTTTACATTTTTACACTTGACTGAAAAGCGTTCTAAAGCACGTTAATTGTGACAGTCAAGTTATGCCATTATCGGCTGGCCAGTCTTTGAAAAACCGGTGTAAAAGTGTAGAACCAAACCGTAATAGCTGAAAGTCAAAGATGTAAGCTACTGATCTCCTGCGCTTTCATATCCGATACGGAGCCGGCAGGCCGTCTTTTAGCCGCATTGCTTTGACTATGAGACAATTCTGCACCAGTTCTCCATTCTCTCCTGCACAAAAGCTTTCTGAACGCGCGTCTAAACTCTGAGCCCGTAAACGCGTACAGCAGCGGATTGAGCGAAGAATGCAGGTATGCAAGCCAGCACGTGACAGTATCAACAAGCTCCACTGCGCATGTCTCTACACCTTCGTCGATAAGAATCACAACATTAATGATTTCAAAAGGCAACCAGCAGATAACAAAGCACAGCACCACGATCCCAAGCATCTTAGCGATTCTCAGTTCCCGTCCAAAAGAAGTCGTTCGCGATGACGCCACTGACGAAGCCCTATTTGATGACGTCATGGTATTAACCCCAGTACGCTGGGCGTGCCCTTTAGCGATTGTATAAATCTTGAAATACAAAATCATCATAATAAGAAAGGGGAAGATAACATTTCCGATGAGGAGGAAACCATGAACAAACGGGTTCAAGTCAAAACTATAAGTCTCGTCTTTCGGCGGATCTAACAAAAAAAGCAATAAAATTGCAATACTGAAAGAGTACAGCCAAACACTGGCTATCATGGATTTGGCCACCTTCGACGTCATCCATATGGTATAGCGAAGTGGATATACCACGGCTAAATAGCGGTCTATACTTATTGCTGTCAGATTTAACACGGAAGCTGTTAGGAAAAGAAAAAAGGACGCGTTCCATAGATTGCACACGTACCCACCCAAAGGCCACCTGGGGAAGGTTATCCAGTATATGACGTCAAACGGCAAAACGAAGACCGCGACCATTATGTCTGACAGGGCAAGGCTGACTATGAAATGCTCCGAATATGAATGCAGATACGAAAATTTTACACTTGCTATGCACACGAGCGTGTTGCCAAAAAGAGAAGTAATCATAATCATAAACATAAATACTAAACCGGCGAATGTCAATCCAGAGCCAAGATGATTCTCGCAAAGAAGTAAATCGAAGCCATGATCTTGAAACGGATCCGATCCATTTCCCATTTGTAAGGTACCTTGTGGTCGTCGCTGCTTCAGCGAGGAAAGCTTAAAAGACGAAACCATGAAAATTGGAAATGATGAGTTATGCTTCAAAATTAAGAAAGTGAAAGTTTCAATCAACAGGAGTACCGATAAATCTGAACAAACTGTAAAGATACCTTCGAAATACTCACTGTCAGCTTTTTGATAAAGGCGTTTACCGCAAACAAGATTTTAAAGTCGAAGGTTGTATGTTTCTCCTTTTCAACTCAATAGTTCTCCGAGTTAAACAGATGCGTTGCTCTTAATTTACGGTTCAACAGGCGACTCTAACCGAACCAAGTCAACAGCATATCAATCCACAAGATGGTAAACAGTTATGTACCGCCGAGTATTTGAGTAAAGTGAAAATGAAGTTATCAACTGCATAAATTAAATGTACTCCTGCCGTATCTATGTTGTTTATCAGCCTTCAGAGGTATTGTTCCCAAAATTGTTGTTATTAAGCGGCGGATCTCTCTTTACAAGAAGACGCGCGTTATATTAGCTCATCAGCCAATCCCTGCATAAATTAGATCTTCGGTGCTCTCAAAACTACAGGAGAAATAGCCACCTTATCTCAATCATTCCCTGACACAAGATGTTTCGTCTATGTGTGATTCACTCACTCAACTGGTAAACTCTAACTGAGTGTTCTTTTCACAAAAGCCTTCGATGTACCAATTCCTTATGCATCCTTTCCCTACGACTAAGCTCTATCTGAAGATACCTATTTTAATTTTAAATAAATCCAATACCAGTAAAGCATATGTTATCATTATTTTAAAGTTGACGGTGCAAACAGATTTGCCCCGCCCATAGCGAAAATTGATCCTTCTCTACAACTGCGCACGACATTATTTTCACTAAAAGAGCAAACACTGTATAATTCTGAATGAGGTGTTGCTTTTCATTAAACAAAATATACACCTGTTCTTACAAATTTTTGAATAATTATTGTGATTTTGCAATCGACCTTCAAAATCTCTTCGATTTTTAGCGGCTTATTTAAAAGTATTTTAAATTTTGCTACAACTTCCAAGAGTATAAATTGATTGACGTTAAACACACCGTCGATTTTTCACAACTTTTTCGCCGTGTTGTCATCATCAACTGCTGTACAAATATCTTGAAATTGCGGTTTTGTCGGCTACCAATTTGTTGGTGAAAAATTGTGCGGTTAGGGATATTAATAGCAAATTTAATATCTTCTTTGAGTGAAAAAGTAAAAAAAAAAAGGGCTAATGCATTTTTTCTAAAAATTAAGAAAAATCGTCGGACACTGATGTATTAATTGTGGACATTTGCTTGACGATCTTAATGATTTTGAATCAATCACGATTTCGAATATAAATGTCATCATATTGACTCTTCATTGCTGTAAGAATTTCCACTTCTCTGATGCATGTATTAAGAGACTAACTGCCGCCAATCGTTTGCTTTTTTTTTGAAAAAAACAAAAACGTTCATTTTTATGAACATATAACGTGCAAAAAGGTTCTTATCACCTAGATTTTATTTCCGAGCTTAAAAAAAAAAAAATTAAAAAAATCACCGACTGATCGCCCACCCACGCTGCTTTTCATATAACTGTCAATCAAGTTGGAGACAAATAAATCGTTCTGAATAACGCTTTGTTTATATTTAATTTCAAGAAATTAGCAGTTTGCATTGTGGACTGAAAACTAATATACCGGATCAATTTTGAAACACGAGTCGTAACGTTTAAATTTTCTTGATGTTCTTAAACAAACAGAGAGGAATGTACAAAGTTATCTAATTAACTGAAATCCTTTGCTGATTCTTTTCTTCAATTTTCGTTTGGATCCAAAATAATGAATACAATGTCGGAGATTAGTGAGACTAGTGCAACAATAGTTTACACCAATTTGCTCATTGCTGAAGTTAATCACTTGCAAATCACTAAATGTTCTTGAAACACAACAGAAATATCCAACCGTTCCCGACAAACCTAGGGGCCAGATCCGACATCTGTCGACGACATCCCGACGACACTCGCGCGATGGTCGATATTCATTCCCAATCCTCTTCATATTTGAGTTAATCCCAGCATGCCTTCCGCTCTTGGAAATGAAACGTCACCAAAATCCAAGATGGATTCCGCAGTTCTTGTAAGGGATCTGAATTTCTTCTAAGGAGTTTCGTCGTTATACTGAATATTTAGGAAACTTTTGTATTAGATAGTAACGTACGTATATGAAAAGTTTCGAAACGCTTGGGAACACGCGAGTTATTCTTTCGATTCAGTGCTCTGTTCGCTAATTTATCCGCTCGATGCAAATCTGTACGATGTTTGACAAAATGGTTCGCTTATCCACAATTTAGAAGTCTTACCACTGATTATTCTTGTTTTTCATACAATAGGAAGCATCCCTGTACACAGTTAAAGCGATTGCAATTCTGGATAATGATGGTGAACGAGTAGTTGCGAAGGTAGATAAGATTTACTTTATCAATTCAACATATTTATGGCCTCATGTGTTGCCTACATGAACATCGTACATGTGAACTTGATATTATTTTTACTCTACTAAGATTATAAGTTGGGTTTATTTTATCTAAGGAATTTCGACTCACATATTCAGCTGTTAAGCTTGACATGATTTTTAATTTTTTTTCTACTGTTGTAAACAGTGTTCGTTCCATGAGGTTATTTCACATAATGTTTAGATGAGAGACCTCTTATTAAAACTGATAAAGTCTCCTTTGAATGGTCAGGGTCTTGTAAGTACCTAAAACTAAAAAATATAAAAATTTTAAAATAAAAATATAAATTATGTATTTTTTCAGCCATAAATCTGAATGTGAAAAAGTACATAAGTAAATTTCCAATTCTTTTTATTTACATTATAGTACTATGATGACCAATACCAAACCACAAAGGAACAGAAAGAGTTTGAAAAGAATCTTTTCAACAAAACACACAGAGCAAATGGTGAGCTTTCTTATCAATTTTATAACGTTAAAATCACACTGCTTTGCCAAGTTGAAATACTGCTAGTCAAAATGACTGCTGTTCAACTTAGGTGACTGGTCTTTTTGGGTAACCTGTCATGATGACCAAAACAGACACACTTTGGAGAACTGATAGCATGTTCCCTTTTTTTTTTCATGTCATACTTTTTCATAAATGTGCAAGGCATAGAGATGACCACTATTTTTCCTTCACTGATTGCTTGTTTGTTTTTCTCTTTTCAGCTGAAATTATAATGTTAGATGGCTTGACGTGTGTGTATAGAAGTAATGTGGATCTCTTCTTTTATGTTATGGGTTCTTCCAATGAAAATGAGGTAAATGTCTTTAGTGGGTTTCAAATGGTATATTTATTTACTGTTTGTTGCAGAAAATTTGTAAATTTTCATGGATATACAGTCAAACCTGTATTAAGCTACACTGTATTAACCTTTTAACTCCCAGATCAAATTTGTAATTCTCCTTACTGTCAACTATACAATTCTTATCATGTTAGTTCAGAGAATTTAGTATTGGATCAATTAATTATCCCCATAGTGATGTTTTACTTTATTCCCATCACTTATCTGGTTGACATCATATTGATATTGTAAGGAGAAATTCTGTCTTGGTCACTCATGGGAGTTAAAAGGTTAAGTGATCAAATGTCAAAGTCCTGAAATTCTTTCCCCTTAAAAACTGTAATTTTTAATTTTCATCTCTCTTAACCCTTTCACTCCCAAGTAATTTTTCATCTCTCTCAAGAATTTGGTATTAGATCAGATCTCTCTATTCTCATCACCTGCCTGCTTGATATTGTATTGATATTGTAAGATCATAGTCAACCTTTACTGAGTCCCAACAGCCTGTTGTATTGTCTTCCACCTCTATTGAACAGTCACTTAAAGTGGAACCACTCAATTAAAATTAAGAACAAGCTTTCAAGTAAATTTAATTCACAGAGAGAGATGTTTTTCATCTTGTCACGAGCGTGGGACAAAGAACAAATTCTGAGTCCCCATGAGGAATGGAACTTTAGACCTTTGGATTCCTTGCTCTGTTGCTCTTTCACTGAGCCACAGAGACTCTACAGTGAGCGAGGTTTATTACAAAGTTCATATGACAAGCATCCTGCATACTGCTAGGATCAGCAATTTTGATAGTGTCATGTTTGTAAATAGAATAGGAGAGAAGGAAAGTTTTGAGCGCAGTAAAGAAATAGAGAAAGATGTTTTTCATGTTGTCGCAAGCATGGGACAAAGAAAAGAGTCCCCACGAGGAATCGAACAAACCAAAAAAACACATTTTGACTTGTTTAACCCAAATTTTATCTTTAATTACCACATTAATATGTGCAATGTTTTTTGCAGTTGATTCTTGTAAGTGTTCTAAATGCCTTCTATGATGCAATCAGTCAGCTGCTGAGGAAGAATGTGGAAAAGAGAGGCCTAATGGATAACTTGGATGGTGTTTTGTCAATACTTGATGAGATTGTAGATGGAGGGTAAGTACTGTTACAGTGTTCCCTAGAAGCCCTGGATGTGGATGTCTTCATTGGCTACCTGTTTCTGAAGCTCAGAATGTTTTCTAGCAGCCCATATTGGCGTGATGATTGAAGTAACCACTAAAACATTGCTTTAGAGTAACTTGGGATTCCAGCATGCTATAGGCTTTTACTGATAGCTCTGATTGTCCAGAGCATATTAAATTTTACTCAGCACTGAAGCAGTATAACCCTGTTTTGCTTTCAGATCATGGCTTTGACTGTTTCCATCATGAATGAATGATTTTTTTGTTTGTTTTCAACAGGGTAATAATGGAATCTGATGCGTCTTCAATATTGCAGAGAGTTGCCATCAAGGTGAATTTACTCTGTTACTAATTGTAGTATTATTGAATATACTTTATTTGAGATAAGCAATCTTGAAGTTATGGTTAAGTTTATTCCAGTAATTACTTGAAAATGTCCATTTCTTTGCTGTAAATTCAAATGTTGTGTTTTCTCTCTTTCAGAATGATGACGTACCAATCACAGAGCAAACAGTGGCCCAGGTAAAAATTTTATGTTCATAGTGCTCATGTTAAAATTACTTATCTTGTTCCTCACAGTAGGATCTGTGAGTTTGTGCTGAAGTTTCTTTACCTTTTTTGTCCTTCAGAAACCAAGTAAAACCACTTAACAGTAAATTGTAACCTTAAATTGAATCACTGTAAATTCAATTGATAGTGAGAGCAAGTAAAGGTTATTGTAGACTACCAGGAATTTCACGATTCTCTGCTTTCCTGAGTTGTTCTCAACAATGAGAACAGAAATAGTGGACATCCATGATTTTGTGGCAGTTGCCTTACAAGACTTATACTGCTCCTGAGGAGTTTAACAACATTAAGTCAAGAATTCAAGTTACCTTTCTAGTTCCAATGGGGATTTTCTTAGTTTCTACTCCTAATGATTATCTCTTCATTTCATTCTTTCAGGTTCTCCAAACTGCAAAAGATCAACTTAAGTGGTCTCTTCTGAAGTGATCCCTTTTATTTGGGAATTCTATCCAATATTGTTCTATTCAGAAAAAAATGCAGACACTGTAGTTAGGCATCTGCTTTGGATCTTTAGTTATCTAAATTCTGCTTTGGTTTTCCTATTGAACTGGTCTTGTGGAAAAAAATGTCATCATACTGTACCAAAGGAGATGTAACAACAGCAGAGTGAAAGTAATCATTAGTTTTTTTAAATTTTTTAAACTTTTTTTTTTTTAAGTTCTGCTAATGTTTATTTGGTTGTGGCAAGGTGTTTGGCATTCAGGAAAGAAAACTATGCTGGAGTACTGTTCTTTTCCTTGTTTTTCAAATATGTTCTGTTAACTGTTGACTTTTGGAACCACTACTGTCAGGAGGGTCACTAAAACAAAACTGACCAGTCATCTTACTGGAAAGAAACAATGCTTCCAACTTAATTTGACTATGCCAATCAGTATTCAGGACCTGAGCAAGCAAAGATGGCAAATAATTCAGGTGGGCTTCTTAATTTGTTTTCAGTGATGAGACTGGTCAGTTTTGTTCATGTATCTTGCGTTACAGAAGGTTCCATTTAGGTATGCTACTAGCAATGTATCTTTTGGTTTTTTTTGTTTTTGTTTTAGCCTAACAGGTCTATCAGTTAGCCTGTGAAGGTAGACAGATTCGTGACTGCATTGCACCATCAAAACAGCTAACTTTATTGTAAAGATGGTGTGACTTAGTCTCAGACAGAAAGTATGATCATAAGGTAGAAATAATAATAATAATAAAATGGAACTTTAAATGGTATTTCCTGAGTACAATTTTTATCAAAGGGGTAAGTTTCTAAAGAAACTGTGGTTCTGTGTTGGTGGGAGAGTATAACAGGGTAATTTGGTATTATCCATTGAGTTGATAATGTAAATTGGCTGTTTCAAAGCTGATGTTTTGAGTGTCAGCCCTTTGTCAGAGCAAATGACAAAGGGCTAATGCTTGAAACTCTTTTACAGTGGCCAATTTACATTACCAACTCAGTTTATAATACCAAATTTCAATTTTTATTAGTTGTTCTCAAAAGGGTGCTCAGTTCTTACTGGACACTGAGAGCACAGTAACTGGGTGAATGTAACATGCATTCTAAAACACCAGTTAAACTCCAGGTAAATTCAATAACTTCTTTATTAAATTAAATAAATGTCATTATTTGTTTGTCGCAAATAGCTTACTCTGGTTTAATTACAAAATGCCATCTCTCTTGGTGAATATTTTCTTGCAGTTTTTGGTCAACTTTTAATCAGTGAATTGTTTTCCAACAATCAAAGGTCCTTACAATTTCTCTTGGCAATAGGAAGCATTATTCATAGCTATGTTCCTCTATCCTCTTCAGAAAGTATATTCTTCAAATAACTTGCTTGTAAACTTGCATAACAACTTTAATTTTCATATTGAATTTAATTTCCCTTCTTGACATGGTATATAAACTTTTTCAATTTTTTTTGCCATTTTCTCCTTCATTTAATCTTGCCTACTCTCAGTAAAGTAATTTTGGGGACAGACTAAAAGAAAGGTTACAAAAATAGTTCTCATCAATTTGAGTACCCACCCTCTTCTTGTAGTTGTTAGTTATGGTCTGATTGGCTGTACTGACTATGTTGGTTTTTTTTCTTTACAACACTCTGGGGAAAAGGGCATTTACTAGAAGTGCCCTTTACAAAATAAAAAATTGGAATGTCATTGAAGTTTTACTGCCAACATCAGAGGGGATTGAAATATTTTCAAAATTTTTCCTTGAACTATTAATGAAACTACTACACGAACACTTCTGCTGTTTTATCTTCCACTTTGTTATCTTTGGGAGTTTTCTTTGCTTGGGCTTGCCTCATCTATAGCATCTACACATTGTCTGTAAACAAGAATTGATATTAAAATGAATCCTGACAAAAAATTTGAAAAACTAGCACCTCTCACAGTTACCAATCTCTGGACAAAGTTGTGCTAAAAATATTTGGATTTGTCAGTGGGGGAGAAATTTATTCATTCCAAAGTCAAAACTAAAGAAAAAGATTTATTTATCTGTGAGACACTGAAAAACCACAATATCATTTTTTTTTTTTTGATGACTGAGTTCCATTTATTCTTTTAATTTGATTACTAAGTCTTTTCCTTTAATAATTATTGCAAATAGCTCTCTGACAGCCTAGGGAAAGGACTCTCCATTTCCCACCAAGAAGCATGATCACAACTTTGCCTAATCAGAATTTCACCTGCAGGAAAATAGAACTAGACGGTATTGTGCATGAGCAGAATATTTTCTGTAAGCAGCAATTTGTAAATCTTGATGGGCTGCCTGCCATTGAAAAGGAGGAAAAATACTTCTGATGATAGAGTAACTTACTTGTATAGATAAAAGAAAATGTATCCACTGTGTTGTCTTTTGTAGCGAACTGAGTGTTCAGCAACCTACAGTAAAAAAACAAGAATTTACCATAGAGTTCAACCTAGCTAACCTGTGAAATCCAATTTAAATGATATTTATGATATAGCGTCACAATTTTTTAGGGAAATATTTGTGATTTTGACCTTAACTCATCCATTTTGGTTAAAGAAAATTGAAAAAAACTAGCAAATCACCGAGACTTTCTTCTTACTGTTATTAAATTAATATTTTAAACTTAACAGGTAAGGATAAAGAAGCAGATAGGATACCTTTGTTGCTGCAGAGTCATCATAACTTGTCCACTGTTTGGTTTTGCAATCATACACATCTGAAATATAATGTCCTGGTACAAAGAGAGTAATTCGAGAAAAGCACACCATCAGGCAAATCTTAGACTATCAGCACTCTGTCCTTTCCAATGAAGTCTGTTGTGTGAGTCAGTAACAAATCAGCCCCCCACACCCACAAAAATAAAAATTGATGTCAGCATGCAGTGCTCTCATACAAGTACTGGTAGTTCTGCATGGCGTGCTGACATCAATTTTTTTTTCCAGTCACAACAGACTTAACAAAAACTCTCAAGATATTTCCACATAACCAAGTGTTTGTCACCAGCTGAGGTGAAAGCGCATCCATTTAGCAGGAAAAAAAAGGATTACAATAATTTCAACAACATTCTAACTGGAACTTTGTATTTACCTGATGGGAAAGAAGCTATTGAGCTCACCTGAAGTAGAACTTGTACCAAGATGGCTGACAATACTAATAAGTCTGTATGAATGTGTAGAGGGCTTCCCCTCTCTCTCATCAATCTGACAACGAAACAAATTATGTAAGCAAAAGGCAAACATATTAAACAATGTGTAAATAACCGAAAGTAAATGTCAAGCATTTGCATCTCCAAGGATATCCATAGATTATTTCCTGGTCAAATTAGAGTTTGTAGTGTTGAAGTTTGCAAAAAGAAAAGTAAAGAACACCAAAATCCTCTGCTCTGTCTTATTTTTGACCTTCTCTTGGCAAGATGTTTCACAATTCTGGATACTACAAAAACTTTATAATTGTGAAAACCACTGGAACAATATAGATAAATATATATTCTGTTCTAGTCCATTCAAACGTACCTCAAAAGTAGGCTCTGTTAAATTATCAGGGTCCACTGCAGCTGGTGATACAACCTTGGTGGATTTTAAGTCCTGCCCTTCAAAATCTATTGAAATAATCAAACAGATGGCAAATGAAGATCTAATTAACCTAACTTTCACGATCTGATTAATAATTCTCCCCACTAGCTGCAACACATTTCCTTGTAAACTAGTAACAAGAATTTGGTGTTGGATCAAGATAACAACCAGATTAGTTTGAGTATTCTCATTACCTGTTTGCTGGATAATGTCTTAATATTGTGGGGAGAGTGAAATGTTAATCAATCCTGGGAGTGAAAGGGTGAAAAACAGAAATTAAAGACCATTAGGGGCCATTTCCCATAAGGGGAAATTAGATGCTTGTCACTTATGGGCGCAACAATGGTTTAAATGCTCATGTATTTTAGAGGGCATTTTCCACATTTCCCCTGATAAATTCACCTTGCAAACTCAGCTGCAAAGCCCTCTTCAGATCTTCATCTTCTGTCTGGTAAGAATAATTTTAAAAAATAATATTAATAACTACTTAATAATGAATAAAAGAAATTTAAATTGTGGGTACCTCTTTCTTCTACTGCTAACATCAGGATGAAACATTTTGAAAGGCTTAGAGTTAAAACTCTCACTCAAAGTTTGGCCATGTATTAGAAGTGCTTCAAAAGTTGCTGAATTTTTGCAATGTTCTTTATTTCAGAAGGTCAATACCATTTGAAACTTTTTTGTACACACTTAGTTTTCAGGAAATAACTTATGGGAAAATTGTGGCCTTCTGGAAGAATAATGCTTCTATAGTCTCATACATGGTTTTTTCACAGAGAGAAAAGGTTGTCTTGTTTTTGATGGATGTGATCAAAGAAAAAAGGATGCTGTAAGGAAAGTGAAATTCCTTCTGGGATACAAATTCTTATAAATTTAAAAGTTACCGTTTCCTGTTCACTTCTTGTCTGGTCTTGAAGACTCATGTTGATTGCCTTTTCCATGTCTTCATCGCTAAAACATTGAACCTCCCAGCTGCTCTTGTCAACAATCTCACTACCAATAGTATTGGTTGAAGCAAGATTACTCTCTTTAATGCCAGCATCAAACAGATCCCCTTCAAATTTTCCTAGCTTGGGTGTTTTACTCAAGCTGAAATTTCTTTGAAGTGTTTGTCTTTGAATGGAGCTACCAGTTCTTTTTTTGATACAAATCTTAGGAGTGCTGTTTTTTAGAACAAATCCTGTGTCTATGCCATTTTCTAAGCTTGAATCTTCCCCACAGCTTTTGTCATTGCCAGTATCATTCAGACAACTATCATCAAGATCATGGGAAACATCTTGAGCTGCTGTTGTAATTGGAGCACCTCCTTTTAAACCAACAGGTTCTTCAACTTTGCTGCTCTGAGCCATGAAAACTAAATCTTCATCAGAAATATCACTTAATTGATTAAAATCATCACTGTCGAAATTAGAAGTTGCATCTTCACTCAAAGCTTCTGTTTTCGATGTGCATTCCCCAGCATTTGTGTTGGCTTTTTGTTCAAGTCCATTCAATTTTGCCATTGATTCTTTTTTTGCTGATTTTGTACTCTCTGCCAAAGCCCATTTCATTTGCTCTTCCTCTGTATCTTCCCAAATCCGTTTGAATCTCAGTGGGGTATGACGTAAAGGTGTGCTCCCGACCTCTCCAACTTCAATGACATCTTTCTCACAAATAGTCGGTTGATTGGTAACATGGCTCACAGGGTTGGAAAAACAATTGCCAATATTAGATTTTGTATCATTGCTCAAAATGTCTGCCAAAGTATTGCATTTGGCATCATCTTCATTTATTTCTTTGTTTACATTTGATTCTTTTTCTGCTGATTTAGCACTTTCAGCCAAAGCCCATTCCATTTGCTCCTCTTCTGTTCCCTCCAAGACTGATTTATTCCTCAGTGGCATTTGATGTGACGGTGTGTGCCTGATCCCATCAAATTTAGTGATATCTTTGTCGGTAGTTTTTTCAGATTCATGGGTCTGTTCTTCTGTTTGGTCATTTTCAACAACCCTGTCTAGCTTGGAAACACCCATGACCTCCACATCATCATCTGAATAATTTTTTGTGTTTGTCAGAGAATTTCTGGCAGCAGTACTGATAAGAAAAATTCAATGATCAGAATTTGCATATTGACTTCAATGACATCTCTAAACATAAAAAGCACTTTCTTTGTCCTTGAGGGCAGCATACTGATTTACGATACTGTTAACATACTTTGAAATGTTTTTCCCCAAAAAAATTCAACCCTTTATACCCTAATGCCAGTATACAATCAAATTCTCCAAACTGTTCTCTTAGCATTTTCTGAGGTGCCACACCAGGGAGAATTTGTTCAACAATCAAGAGCTTAAATCTATATTTGGTGATCATTTTTGTTATTTTAGTGACCTTAATTTGTGAAAATAGATGCTAGTTACTCTTACGAGTCAAATGGTTAGTTAAAGCAAGGAAAATAGCTTATGGAAAGTATCTAAATATAAATCATTCTTTTCATGAAAGACTGTCAGTTGTAGTAAGATTATCATTCCATGTTTCTTTCATGAATACCATAGTTTTCCGTACCTTGAGAAATTTTCATTTGCAAAAGAATGTGATAGTTTCCTCCTCACTGAGGGAGAGGGTTGAAAATGAAGAGAATCATCATCGTCTTCATCACTGGTTAAGTAGCGTTTCTGTGGTTTACGGCCTGATTTTGTTGGACTGCTGGGACAAAAAAAAATAGAACAGATGCCTGATTGTGCCATGCCAATTATATAAAAGCTGAATTATACATTCATTTTGATTGGCTCTTACATATGATCTGTTGGAGGACAGACTTATAGATGACATCACTATTAACAGAATTTTGCTTCCTTCTTTTTATAAAACAAAAAGAACCCATGTTGCTGCACATCTGTTCAGGAAAAGATCTCAGAAGCTGTCAAAATGTGGGAAGAACATCAGTGACACACTTGGCTGTCCTTTGAGTAACAATGTTCTGTTCTTATCATATTTTTGTGTCATCTGTGATCTACTACTGAACACCTCACAGCAACATGGGGGTGGGGGTGTTTTCATTAAATAAATGTCCTTCCATGTCTAGTGTTTAGCCTTCTGGACACCATTCACAAAAATAAATGTTCAGATAAAAGATTCAGCTAAATTGAAGATAGTTGAATGGGTGGTTTTGTTAAAAAAAAACCGGCTAGTTTCATGCTACACATTACTTACAATTTGAGTGATGACTTTGGTTGGAATGGCAATGGAGGCCTAGATGTTGATGAGCACAGCATACCTACAGACAAGATGAATCATGAATACTTGACTGTCATGTACTTCCAGTAACAAGGCCCAAAATAACAAGGAGAAATTTCTAATTGCCTTTTGGCACCTTAATGGTGAAAAAATGGTTGCCAGCACTAAATTTTGAGTTGCCAATTTAAAAGCTGGATCTGAATGTACCTGCAGTACCACTAATTTGGCTTTACTATGATGTAAGATGTAAGAAGTTACAACATGAAATTCTGCACTTGCCTTTAAAAGTGATCATGTTTGCAAAGTGTGTGTCAAAAGATGGATGTGTTTGATGTCAACAGAATTTGTTTATGCAAGTTTCCTCTTTTTCATGGAGGTGGAAGTAAAACTAGACAGTGTGATGTACTTTTGACCTCAACTCATTTAACTTTCTAATTTAAAACATTAAAAAATGAAGTCATCACAGTAACAACTAGCCCAAAACGTTTAGTTTCCATCAAGAAAATGTTAGTTCCATTAGCACTAGTATTGGTTGCAATCTCAAGCCCCCAGTAACAATGGGTATTAATTGCCAAAGAGAAAGATGTTGTGTTGATACTCACTAAGGTTAATGAACCTTTCAATTTTAACCTTGTCTTGCTTCTTGGCCTGTTCTTCAGTAAAGTTGTCAAATCCATACCGCTTCAAATGCAGAATAAGCACTCTGAAAGAAATGACAGAATACTAAACAAAACTAAATTCAAATATCCAAGTCACTGTTTAATGGAATATAAAAATAGCCATCCACTACTCCTGTATTCTGAAGTGAGTATTCAATATTTTGTAGTGAGTTTAATTTTTTAATTAAAAAAAAAATTTTAACTAAGATATATAAATTTATCAGGTACATCACTTAGATCAAGTACAGACTTGCCTGTGAGTGGCAGACTACCACCTTAGTAAAAAGTGAAAAAGGCAAAACTAACCTTGGAAGCCTACTGAAACTGTGTGCAATGATAGCTTCCTTGGACTTACATTTTCCACATGTGTACTCAAGCTGTTCATCCTAAAATGAGATAAAAATCAATGTTCCTTTTCGTGAGATATGTTCTTCAGATCATTTTGACATCTTAATGCAAACTTTACCCTTTTAACTCCCAAAATCTCCATAGTAATTCTCTTTACTATCTCCTATACAATTCTCATGATGTAAGTTCAGAGAATTTGATATTGGATCTACTAATAATCTCCTAACTGATATTTTTCTTTATTCTCATAACTTGTCTACTTAATTTTTGGTGACATTATAAGGAGAAATTCTTTCTTGGTCACTTATGGGAGTTGAGGGGTTGATCCAATTTTTCGTTTTACAGCAGCTTACCTCAAAGTGTTTCTCTAGCAGGGTTTGCATGCTGACAGCTGAGCCAAATGGAGACTTATCTGAGGAATTACACCTACAAAATGGACAAATGAAGTTTGGACTGTTGATTTCTGTAAAAGTTATGGTGCTTTTTAACAAAAAGTGAACTACAGAGTTGGAAGTAACCATCAAAGATTTTATTTCCACTGCTGTTGGTTGTGTTGCAGAGCTCCTAAAAAACAGCTATGATGTCCCAGGGTTTTAAAGACCATTTGATGAGTGGTGATCACAGCATTTTAACCAATTTTTCTTGTTTCCATTACAAGATATCATATGCCAAAGATAATGATTGATGGCAGCATGAAATGAAATAATGAGTTTGGCTCAGAGTGTTAGAGTTTGCATGTAGTGGAAAGGTGTTGGTTGGGAGTATATTTATTCAAAGTTAAAGGAGGAGTGTCCTGTTACAGAAAATACCTAAGTTGGAATAAAAACCTTGGATCAAGAATATATACTCACAGAACTGGGATGTCAAGAGAAAACGCATGGTAAATCTCTTCTTTTGGAGCAGATTCTCCACACCTGGATGTCAACATTTACACAATTTGTATTTATAGCAATCATGGCAAAATGTTTAAATAAAAAATTCATACACTGGTTTGAATACAAGAGCAAGTTAGGAGGGAAGACATCAGCTTGAGAGAAAGAGAGGGGGTGGGGTGAGGCAAAAGAAGAAAAGAGGGGTTGGGGAGGAGAGGAATAGGTATTCAGTGAGAGTTAGAAGGAACAAGAGAGTAGAGTGGAGGGGAGACTGGGAGGAGGAAGCATAACTCAAGGGGAAAAAAGGGGAGGACTGGGAGAGAGGAAGGATGGAAGGAAGAGACAGAAGGAGAGACTAAGGGGATGAGAGTAGTGAAGTAAGGAAGAAAAGGAGATTAAAAGAAAAAGGAAGGAGAGGAGAAAAAAAAAAAGAGGAAGGACTGGAGTGGGCAGAGAGGAAAAATGAAGAAAAGAAAGGTGAAGAATTGGAAAAGGAAGGTTAACAAAGTGGGAAAAGAGGAAAGGTTAATGGAGGATCAAAAGGATAAAGAAAGAAGGAAAGAGAAGAAAAGGAGTGAACAAGAAAGAGGCCTGGGTACGTTAAAAAATTATTTTCACAGCTACACAACAGTAGTACCACTTTGTAATAAACTACTTACTGTTTACAGATGACTGTATGGACCACTCCACTTTCAAAGGATCTTGTCACAGGACATTGAGAATCTGCCAACTACACAGGAGCAGGAATTAAAGTCTATTCATTACAAAGTATAATTTTGTTGAGATCAAAATTTTTACTACTGATTTCAACCTCAAATAACATACAATGTGGAGCTATATGTAAAAACTTATCATCATGATGGTAAAAACCCTGCTTTGAATTTAAACAAATATCATCAGTGCCAGCAACAAATTTTCCACAAAATTCTTACCTTTGGGTTACTTTCACTTGAGGTATCTTTGGAAGATGGAGAGTTAGATTTGCTCACATCATCCTTCAGCTGATCAAACACTTGACAAAGGAACTCATGAGCATCCTATAAAAATAAATCAAATAAACTTCAAACTTCTCTGCAATAAAATTTCACCATTTGACCTCTGAGAGTGACTAGCATCTAATTTCTCCCAACAGCATAAAGCCTGCCCTCCCCCCAAATGAAATGACACATGAGAATAAAGGAAACTATCAACAATTAGAGAAGCTTTTGATTGTTAAACAACTTCTCCTTGTCAGCAACTAAGAAAATGTATGGAGAACAGTATGGAGAATATGCATACTGATGTTAGAGTGTGAAAGGTTAAGTCATTTCCAATTGCATACATCATAATTCACCAGACCCAAAGCTAGATCCACAAACATCTGAATAAAATGTTGAATATTTCCTTTTGCAGAAGTGCTTGTTATTCTTTGGACAACCAGCTCCAGGTACAGATAATTGTTTTGTTTTACCTCTCCCAAACAAAAGGTGAACTTCCTGTGACAGCACAATGAATGAGATAGATGCTGTAAATTCTTACATGCTGATGATATCCTGAAAAACGTGTTGCAGCTTCAGAGATTGTTCGCTTAAGTTTCCTCAAACAATTCTTCAGCACCTCTGGATTCCCGCACTTTCTTTTACACATTAGAACACTATGAAGACATCTGTGGGAAAGGAAGGAAAATAGGGAGGAAGATAAAAACTTAACACTCCTAGGTGGAAAGAGATGTTGTGAGAGTGAAGTGTTCTGTCCAAGAAAACAACATATTAAGGAGTTTTAGATCTACAACTGTTTCTGAATATGTGTGACTGCAAACATCTAGGAGTCAAGTGACCAAACTCTAGCAGTCACATTTGCCGTTTGCCGTCAATTTTTGAACTTTGGACAAGGCAGTTTCAGGAACTCCCTTGATGCTTTTTTACTTCCTGTTTGAAAGTTCTCATTCATGTTCTATAAATACATTTGAGGTGAAGTCTTTTCTTTATAACCAATCCATTTTGGATGCTAGAAAATCAATCTTTTAACCACATTCTGAGTTTGAAATGAAGGACCTCCTTCCTTTGTGTAATTTCAGATGGCAATGCACATGTTTATTTTTTCAGGTGATAGCGGATGTTGAGCTAAAAAGCTGAAAGTCTCAAAAGTTCTAACTTCTAACTTCTAACCACAAACTGCTGATTGTGGTTTAATATTTGCAGTAAACACACCAAACTGGGATCTAAAACTCTCTATTGACACAACCTGGACTCCAGAGCTGTTTACTTGGAATCCAAGGCACAAACCAGTACACCACGATGTCTCCCATAACAAACAAACAACAAAAAAAGAGGTAATTTTACACTTACTTGTACAGACAGTGTGGAAAAACATTTTCCAACAAAGCTCTGTTTGAAAGATCCTGAACAAATGGTGGCAAACCAAGTAATGACTGAAGAATGGCATTCATGTAGCAAGTATTTCCCAAGTTTGAAAAGCTGCAACCATAAAAATTCAATTCATGTATTTCAGATTTGATTTCATTGAATGACAGTGTAACAAAGCAAACTGTAATGAGCCTTCAGGGCTCTTCTGGACAGCTGTCATTGTCACAAGTATAGGCTCACATGGAACATTGCAACCCGAATATTTATTGTTCACATCTTTGAGTTCTTAATTCTGCCCAACTTTTGTAATTTTAATCAAAATATTTTGATGTTTAATCAAACAACATCCCTTCTTTTGATATGTCCCTCTCAAATCAATCTTTCTGCTTAAAATGTATTGGTATGGTAAGCAATAATAATTGCTTTGGTATTGGTAAGAGGAAATTGCTTTTTGTTCACTTCAGGAACTGGAAGAGGATTTTAAAATGTAATGAGCCTTTTGTAATTTATAATTTACTGCCAGAATGATATGTACCCAAATAAAGACCATGGGCAAGTTCAGATTCTATAAAATCTTTCTTTGGGATGATCATAATGATACAGGAAATTAGACTGCACTTTCCTACCCCGTCAATGCAAAATCTCTCTCGTAGAGAAGCTTCTCACGGGATCTGAAAGATATCTGACTTGTCAGACGTGTTGTTTGAGGTGCAGGCATCAAGCCTGGGCCCCTAACATTCTTTGCAGATTTCCTGTGAATGAAAATGAACTATTATTTACATCCATCCATCTCCAGATCAGGGTCCACTTGTTGGAGAGGTAGTTAGTGATTATCCAGGATTAAAAGTTTAACCCTCTAACTCCCAAGATCTGATTGTTAACATCTTAATTGTGCTTTGAACAACTTGACCCAGATGAATCACTCAATTTCTACTTAATAGTAATCTACTGTTCCGCCAGCAATAAGCACACCCATGCTAAACTGGGCATAGTCCTTTATGCCAAATGACCAAATAAGCATTCCTTTCCTCTCATCCCTTGAGTTTTTTAAATATCAGGTTTACTTGGAAAATCTCTATCTCTTGTCAACCCATTTATAAAACTCTAAACCTCAAATTTACTGGCAACAATTCATGTAACAGAATGGTTCATTCCCTGCAAAGTCACTTCTGACCATAGGTGTGTTGTATTTTATTTATTCTCACACAAAGATATATCCATAATTGGGTCATAATTTGTCAAAAGAATAACTTAATGCAACAAACACCTCACCACTTTCCTCCTCAGTAAGCCAGTCACAGAACAGGTTTTGCAAAGAAGGCAAAGCTGGATGGATGTGACAGGCCGTTCTTGCCCACTCTCTCCATCCCCTCCCCCTCAAGGGTAGCCAATCAGGACAGAAGATGTGCATCATCTTTCCCATTTGCATACCAAGCCCAAAATAAAATTTTAAATTACTAACCATTCACTTGGGGACTGTGTTAAATTTTGTGATCCATAAAATGAAGTGACTGACTTTCCACCACTAGATGTATTGCTGAGATTATCTGTTATAAAATAATCAAAGACAGTTTTGAGCCCTGACCTTTACAGCTGAAAAGTCTGTAATTCCTGATACACTCAAATATGAATTGTATTTATAGTTGACTCTGAATACTGGGAGAGACCCAATGGTCTGATTGTTAGCAAAGTGAATCCTGGGTTGAGGGACTGGGTTTGAGACCTGGCCAGGTCACTGTGTTGTGTTCTTGGGAAAATGCTTAAATTTCGCAATGCCTCTCCCCACCCAAGAATATAAATGGGTACCAGTGAATTTTCAGCCTTGATGAAATACTAGGCAGAAGGGGGGGGGAGGAGTATTGCAAAGGACTGGAATCCAATCCAGGGGGGAGTAGTATTACTCCTAATCCCTTCATGCTATGGAAACCAGGCACCCTCACTGGACGGGCCAAGGAGGGGAGGGTATTGCAAAGGACTGGCATCCTATCCAGGGGAAAGTAGTATTACCCCTAGTTTGCTTCATCCCATGGGAACCAGGCTAAGCCCTCGCTGGACAGGTCACTTGGCTCTGAGGTTCAGACATATAGGGTCTAATTTCTCAGCTGAAAATTTGGAATTAAAATTTGGTGCACAGTTTAGAAATATTTCACTCATGTGCATGAGCCTCGAGGGCTTTCTTATTATTTTAATACGAACCTCTTGCAAATGTTTTATCCACAAGAGGGGTTTTATTTGGTGATCTGTTTGATGAAGGTGGATTCATCTGCTTGGCATGGAGATTGCGCTGAACACTAGGGGTTAGTCTAAAAAAAAAAATGGATTGATCAACAAAAACAGAATTACTGATAGTGCTTATTTCATGATGTCTGTTGAGTCTAAAGTAGGGGAAAAAAATGTGCAAAAATGTTAGCACTTATAACTGACCCACATATTGAAAGAAAAACTCCTTTTAAGCCAACAAAAGCTCTTTGAGGCTGAAAGATTGCTGGCTCTTGCATCAACTCTGATAGAGTTTCACTCCCAGGAATTACTGAAAAAAATCCTCCTTACTATATCAAATTCTCTAATTTCACAGTAGAAGAAGATGAGAAGAGTGTGAAATATCAAGAAGGGAATACTGATTGATCTAATACCAGATTATCAGAGCTCGATTAGAGAAAGTGCATAACAGAAAGTGTGGAGGGCTTAAAGTTGGATCTTGGGAATAACAGGGTTAACCTGTAACACCCTAACATCAGTATACATATTCTCCATACTGTTCTGTATACATTTCCAACAGTCCTGGCAAGGAGAATTTGATTTTCTTCAGTTGACAATCATTTCCTTTATCCTCATGGCCTTGGTGTGTGATTTGGAGGTGATACTGTACAGAGAAACTCTATGCTAGTCACTGTTAAGGGTAAAAAGTTTAAGGAACTTACTTATTTGTCCTTGCAGAAGGTGATGATCTCATCAAGTTTCTTCTCAAAGGTGATTCATATTTTCCTCTTGGTGATGACGCATTGGAGTGGATGTTGTTCAAGGGCAAGTTCTGCAGTGAAAAAGTATGATCACAGATTGTTGTCTGATGAAGAAATGTAAAATGGTTTCCTTGTTTACGTAGCCTGATGTAAACACTTGGGAGGTTGGGAGAACATGAGATAAGCGTAGGAAACCACGATGCAAAGCGGAGTGGTTTCCAGCTTATCGAGTGTTCTCCCAACCTCCCAAGTGTTTACATCAGGCTATGTAAACACGGAAACCATTTTACATTTCTTTTATAAAATAACTGATGAAAGAGGAACGAAAACTGTGTTTACATACGCTCATGTAAAATGATTTTATGGCCAATCAGAGCGCGCGTACTATTTGAATTATTTTATAAAGTATAATAATTCATTGTATAATTTACAGGACTTGATTCCCATTTAGTTTTATCTGATGACCAAGGAAAGAGAGGGTTAGTTGAACAAGCCTAGAAACCCATTAATATCAAATATTTTTTGATTGTCTGAAGTTACAATGAGTATCACTATTTCTTGTAGACCAGATATCAGCCTTTTTTTTTTTTTTTACTGTGACATCTCTTGACCCCTTTATACCTATCATCAGCATGCATATTCTCCATTTTGTTCACTATACATTACTTAACCCTTTAAGCCCCAATATCAACATGTATATTCTCATCACTGTTCTTCATATGTTTCTTATTTTACTGATTGAGAGAATTTGATTAAACATCCTATCTCATCTTTGGTGGATATTCTCCATATTGTACATTTGATCAGGCAATTATACTGGTCACTATACTTAAGGTGCTGAAACTGACACTTTGTTTAAAAAAACAAGAGTTTCTTCAGTTGGTGATCATTTGCTTTATTCTTATGACTTCAAGTTGCAATTTAAGGGTGATGTGTAGGAAAAATGAGATACTGTTCAACTCTTGAGGATCGAAGGTTTAAGCTTACCTCGGCATTTTCTATATCTTTTCCTTTTGAAGAGGATGAAATCAATTTTCCTACAAATTAGAGATAACAAAAGTAGTAATTCTATGTAATCAAACTAAGAGGTAAACAACTATTTTATTAATTGCTCCAATAAGCATTGAGAGTTGTTCCTAAATCACACCATGCAAAGGAAGTCGTAACTGCTATCTTTCACCTTTTATACACTCACATTGGTATGCATATTCTCCATACTGTTCTCTTATATATTTCCTTTGGTGCTGACAAGGAGAATTTGTGTAACAATCAAGAGCTTTGTTAGTTGGTGACCATTTCCTTTATTCTCATGACCTTGATGTGTGATTCAGGGGTGATGATGTTAGGAGAAATTAGATGCTGGTCACTCTTAAGGGTCAAAAGGTTAAATACAAATTACCTTCAATTTTCCCATTTTCTCACCTTTAAAAGAAACATTATATGCTTTTACATTGTTCAAAACATCTATAAATGCTCGCAGCTGGTTAGGTTCTGCCTCTCTCAAGTGCATGGAAACTGCTGATTTTCCACGCTCAGTAAAAGACAAAGTTAGCCGTGACTCGCGGCTTTGAAATGAAAATTTATCAGGCTTCAAGAGGAACTGAAATTCAAAGAATTGAACAAGGTTAAATATTTACATTTAAGAGAACAAATGTATTATTGAATTGTTTGATTTTTGTTAATTTTAATTGTTAATACACATGTGTTGAGGTATTCACAACAAACAGTGAAGATGTAGACCATATTTTTTTCAAAACGATGTGTAAATGTTTTGTTTCATTATAAAGTGCTGCTTTCTTAATTTAATCAGTTTTTGATCCCCATTAATATTTATATCATCAATAATCCGGACCCTCGATTATCTGGACTGTTTTGTCTAATCCCAACAAGTCTGGATAATCGGGGTTCAACTGTATTAGTATCAAATTAGACTTTAAAGCAACGTAACAGCCAATGTATATGCCATATCTGGCCTAAACCAGACTAATCTGAAGAGCTAAGCAGTGGAGTTTTATGCATTGCATACTTTTTCATTTAAACAATAGCTGTCTGAGCTACATCTTTTAAAATCAAATTAATTTTTTCGCTAAAATATAACTACCCATTTAGCTATAGCTCAGTGCTGTAAACTATATTCATTGGCAAACAATAAAGGTCTTCGAATCAGCCATTCGAATGAATGGAATGAATAAACAAAACAGATACGGTCCAGGTTCTGTTATGCTACGAACGGTTGTGTGCCCAAGGAAATGACAAAAAAATGTCAAACAGTAGCCAAGTATAGCCTCTTGACAGAGCGGTCAACAAGCGTGAAGTGTTCTACTTCAAACGCCGGTAAGAAAAGGAACGATTTTGACATGATGTTTAAATTACTAATTACGCAGAGTGTAAACTGAAATTACCTTCACGCGTTTTGCTTTTGTAATTCCATGTATATAAAAACTGGTACTCAGTTTATAGAGAGCTAATGATCCATGGCAATATTCCAGATTATAGCGTTCCACATTTGACCATTTTACTTCGCCAGAAACCTCACAAAGTTTCTCTCCGTCAAGAACACAAGCCGCCATTTTGTTTAGCGGGAAAAATAACTTTAATCGCAAAGACTTAGGGGATACCCCTATTTTCGAGATAGAGAGAGGGGTGGGTTGAGAGCTAGTAAGTTTGACGAGGCGGGGAGGGCACTCACAGGGGGCTACCAGATGTTTTCAACAATATGATCAATGGAGCTCATCATTTTATTTCGTTACTCTGCAGCGAGACATAAAATTTTGTAACAGATTGCAGCACATCCAGGTATGGCCAAGGTATAAGAAAAAAGAAATTAATCACAGGTTAAAAAAAACTGTTAATCACACACATAAAGAATTTATGTGTGTTGCCAGGAGCCCATCGCCTGGTAACAAGCTCACGCACTAAGTTTCTGATGCTTGTATCATAATCAAGCCCCACCACTTTTCCCTGGGGACGGTGAAGGGGATGACCATGTCATAAAGTTAATGCAAATCAGAAATATATGGTTGAAGTCAGAATAGAATTCTTACAAATTTAAGATTTGGAAAATGTGAAAGGTAATTTAGGTCTAATTAAAAGCATAGGGTGTTACCTTCCCAAGCCAAGTTCAGTTTAAATCAATCCCTCAACATTTGTGACAGCCTTACTATATGTGCTTAAGCTTCAAGCCAAATAAAAACTTTGCTAGGAAAGGGGTGGGAAATGTTTTTTTACTCCATAATATTTTTTATTGCCAAAAATTCTGAGTAACAAGCTCAAGCAATTGAAGATTACTACCCAATTATCGGAGTATTAAAAGGAAGTTGTGTGACATGACACTTACACATTACTGGTTAGGTTAAAATTGAAATAGGAGACATAATGATTGAAGTGATATGTCTTAGGGTAGACTGCACTAAATTTGTGAAGTGGTGACTGTTGATGATAATCAACAAAAGAAGGATCTGATGATGGAGAGTAGAGTGTACCCCACAAGTTCAGCACAGTATGAATGTAAAAAGTGTGAAACAAGAGTCAATGATTACAATCAAGCACCTTAACAAGATTTTAAACAGTTTACTGTACTCTGTGATTACTCAGATACATTACAGAAAAACAGTCAAATCATCCTCAACAATTTACTGTGAGTTTCATTATACACCAAGGTGACAATAAAACTCAGTGCAAAATTCCTAAAAAAGCCATACACCATAACAGTTCATCAAAAGTTCTTTACAAATTCTTTCTAGTTAGTCACACTTCCACAATTTAGTAGTCAACATAAATGTAAACAAAAGTAGCTGGTCTTTGAAATAAATGGTATCGTGGCACCAATCCCTCGTCAATGTTCGCTGAGTGGTTTGTCACGTGTAAGCATCAGATAAATTCCAGGGCCCAGGATTCCAAAGCAAAAGGCAGAAAAGGCTGCAACATGTTGAACAGGAGTCTGTTGAGAAAAGAAGTGTCACCATGTGATAAAATACATGTATTAATTTTATATTCAAATTTACACAGCTACAACTAGTCCCACTTTGCATAGCTTTACATTATTTACGGCACCAAGTGAGCTGGTATTCTCCTAGGAGGCCACACTTCTTTGCTGGTATGAACTTCAAACACAATTTTAAGGGTGGTATTGGTGTCTACATAAAGAATTTTATGTGTCACTGCTGTATGGGGTTTGTTCAAGGTATGGTTCCCCTGAAGAATTCCCCAATAAGTAAATTACAAAAGAGGAGTAGTGACCTATATTTGAAAGTTGTCCTTGAATGATAGTTGTTGTTAAAAGCATTTTAATTTTTCTGTCTGTCTTCGCATGTTGGAAGTTCCAATGAATACAACACGATAGACACAGACAGTTTGAGACCCAAGGACTCTACGCTTTGACCTCAGTAGGGTCAAAACACGACATGAAAAATTCTCCGGTCTTGTTTTTAAGCGAATGTCGACATCGATAGCTCGATCACAATTTGCGATCTTATCAAGGTTATATAATATTGCCCCTCTGAAAGTTAACGATGATATGGCATGTTGTGTGTAGTCTGACCACATAAAACATTTTACAACACTTCTCATTACGGTAATCAGTGTAAAACATGATAGGTAGCAATAGTAAACATCTATTTCAATCATCATTCAGTCATTTACGAAGCTAATACAATCCTGCAATTCTTGCAAGAGGTTCAGACGCGTGAAGAGCATTCAACAATTTTAGGAACTACGACAAGATCTCACCAGTCTTTCGGGAGTTTCTGGCCTTCTCCCAGTACTCATGGCTCTTCTTAGTAAGCCAATCCTCATTGTATTACAAGCTCGTTGAAGAAACATTGTCTAATGTCCACCGATTGACTCCTTTAAAACAGAATCCTTATCCGGTAGATGCCGTGCTTCACGTAAAACAAGATGGCAGAGGGGAACAATATTTACCGAAAAGCATCATGGGTAGGTTTAGAGGCTCAGTCCCTCTCGGTCATAATTTGCTGAGTATTCGTAATTTGACGGGTCAAACAAAATGTTCTTCTCTTTTATCAGGCAGCATATATATGAGTCCTCAAAAGTTTCTGCATAGAAATTTTTCTCTCTCTATGGCGACTGAGAATACGAAATTACTTTTATCAACAAAGTTTATTACCAGTAATACTTTTCTTTTATTACAATTGATTTTAAATATAACATACTGCTATCATATGCAAGTATGCAAAAACACATAATTATAATGAGTAACAAGCATTGAAATAAAATTTTCTTCATGTATTTTACAAACACCTTGTCCATGTGCATTATGAAAAGAAGACATGATTATCTCTGTTGTGAAAATTTTTACACAATCCAATGTTTGAAGGAGTTTTGATGCCTTAGCCTTCTTGGATCAATATCAGTATCTGGGCAATGGCACATCTACCCCTCCCCTCCCCTCCCCTAACCCAACAACAGTCAATTGATAACAAGTTAGGGTGAATGTTGGGTTAGGGGAGGGGTAGGTGGGCCGTTGCCTAGATACTGATATTGATCTGCCTTCTCGAGGTAACATGATTCATGTAGAAATTTGTTACATCACTAATGAAAAGATTATCTTTCTAGTTACATGTAGAACATCTTTTTCTGGCTCCACTCATTAGACTCTTTCATAAAGTGGCTCTGCCTTCAAACCAAACACTTCATAGTCTTTTACTGTGAAGTTGTAGTCTCCCATGAGAAGACTGGTTGAGGCCTGGGGACCATCATAGGAGTGAGGTAAATTTGAGTAGGACTCAGGCCTCTCGTGACACTCATCACTGATACACAGATCTGCCCCTGCCCCAAACATGGGTCCATATCTGACAGAGAGAAAAAAATGATAAATATTAGATATAAAATTTCTTCCTAAAACTGATTCTGACTATGGTCTGCCAGACCTTCATCCTTTATTCTGAAGAATGTACTAAGCTTGATTCTCAAATAAAACAGGTATACAGAACAACTTAGATTAAAACTTACAAAACAAGTCACCACAACTTTTCAGTCTCAAAGTAGTTTAACTACTAATTTTTTGCAAGTTTTAACCCTTTAACTCCAAAGATCTGATTGTTAATTCTCCCCTCTTTCTACTACACATTACCTTGTTAGTTAGTTATGAGAATTTTTTGCGAGATCAAGATAACATCTTCTGCCTGATTAGTTTGTGTTTTCTTATTACCTGTTTGTTGGATAATGTATGGGTATTTTTTGATGGAGGTACATGTTAATCACTTCTGGGAGTTTAAGGGTTGAATAATTTGATTTCTTTGGGGTTCTTTTAAATTGAATGAGCATAGCTTTCAACATAGCCTGTGGTGTAATTTTTTCCATTTCACAGTTGAATGGAGACAAGTGCAAGGCAAATGCAAATTGCAAGTTATACACAAGGAGAGCAGCCCAAAAAAATAATGCGTTGACTCACACTTCACACTTGCCTTGTGCTAGCCTTCGTTTGACTGAAAAATGCAAAAAAAAAAAGAAAGAAAACCTAATCTGCAGGCTACTTTCAACACTTAAATGAAAAATTATCTAAAAGTTACTTTTGTCAACAAACCTTGGATGATGTAGAGTAGCATATTTAGGATGTGTTACATCATACTTGGTTGGAGGAACACCTTCAGAGTTCACCAGTGTAAACAAAAATGCCCTGTTAATTATAGGTAAAAAACATTAAGAAATGTAGATTGGAAGATACTCCTAGAACCTTTGATCATATTTATGGGTTGAATTTAAATAAAAAAATATATTTATGTATAGAATGTTACCTTAAAAGGCAGGACATTTCATAGGTAAAACAATTTTCAGCAAATTTTAAACAAGAAACCCACCTTTCAGATGGCATGTATTTTCCACGAGGAATATCACTTCTCCATGGCTGATCACTGTATCCACCACAAACATTTCCATTTGTTCCCTGAGATATGATGTTGACATGAGAATGCATGAAAGAGAAAAACTGGCTTGTAAAAACAAACAATAAGAGAGTTCTGAGGTCTGAAACCTCAGACTTAGTTTCTGGGAACTTCCAGAAATTAAAGGGATGCATGAATAAAGTTCTACATGATTGACTCAATGTCAAATTATCTTTATGTTTCACAAGGAAAGAGACCAGCAGTAATAGATATTTGTTCTTGATAACAGAAATCTAAAAGATAAAACTAGAGGGCAATTCAAAAGGCTTACTTGTACTTATATCTTCAGGGTGTGAAATTGCGCCTAATACAGGTGCCAATGCAACTAAATTTTTCACTTTGGTGACCAAATCCTGAAAATCAGTTGCCAAATTGGCAACTGGAATGTTTCATCATAACCTTACCAAGAGATATAACAAATTAAAAAGATTTGCAAAGACAAATCAGCGGCAAACTTCCTCATTAAGTTTGTTTCCAAAATGCAGCACATGCATCTTGATCAATAACTAGACGCCATCATGGATTTAGGTGAGCTTGAACTTTGTCTATCATCCATCCTAGTGTCCACTTTGTAGTATGTTAAAGATAATTTCGGAGGGTCTATCTAGAATGCTGACAGCATTAAAAAAGGTTTTGTTTGTTTTTGAAAATGGCGACCAACTTTTTTTGAATTGGCTACCACTTTGAAGAATTTAGGAGCCAGGGGCTATCAGAAAAAAAAATTAATTTCATGCCCTGATCTTAAGTTGCACTGTCAGAAATATCCCTGGAAAAGTTTTTGCCTTAACCTTTTCACTCCCATGAGTGACCAAGACAGAATTTCTCCTTACTATATCTGTACCATATCATGTAAACAAGTGATGAGAATTAAGAAAAATATCAATTATGGGATTACTAATTGATCTGATACCAAATTCTCCAAACTGACATAATGAGAATCATTTGGCAGACTGTAAGGAGAATTGCTAATGAAATCTTGGGAGTTAAAGGTTTAATTTTATATTTACTCACCAGAACAACTGTAAATGTGGGTGAATGTCCATCACACTTTGTATGAAATGCTACAGCCGAAAAGCCATCCTTTGAAGCTTTGTAAAGTAACTGCCATTCCTGATATTCATTCCCAAACCAAGTATTGAGCATGTTTTGAAATTTGAGGCAGTCCTTTGTTAGTAAAGTTGAACCATGGAACAACTTTTGAGAAGCTCTTGGTCTTAAACGGGGATCCTCAGCTTTTCTGAAATGGGTCGGCACTGCTGCAAAGCGATACCTTAGAAAAACATATTGTCAGTATTGAGTACTAAACTTTGCTTTAACATGTTTTTTAAACTGAAGCACAACATTTTGCACAGTGTGTTTTCGCCCTGAGTGAGAACATAGATAACATATATTTAGAACACTGGCAATTTTTAAGGAGATACTAAAACAGGATTAGTTTCAGGAGTAGCAGAAAATTGATACATTGTCATCTGGTGAAAATTGAATCAAAAACAAGATTAATTACAACAAACAAGACAATGAAGCTTACCTTTCTAAAGACACCTCCATAGGGACTACTCCAGTTGGTTCTACTTCTTCAGCGTACACACTGCTGTCAATCAACAGCAGTTTGATGTGTTCAATAACACCTGACATTGCCTTAAATACAAAAGTAAGTAACATGAATTACAACATGAATTAGTAACTCTACTAGATGAATGTACATTATGGTAGTCGTATTTACTGGATTAAACCTTTAATCCCCAAGAGAGACCACCATCGCATTTATTCTTACAATAGTACCCCTGAAACACACGGTAATGTCGCAAGAGGAGAGAAAATGATTATCAGTTAAAGAAGCTCTTGATTGTTAAACAAATTCTCTTTGTCAGCACCTTAGAAAATGTATAGAGAACAGTATGGAGAATATACACATTGATATTAGGGCGTAAAGGGTTTAACAACACACATACACACACAAACAACTTCCCCACTAAAGCACCATCTTGATGAGACAATCTTGTTCAATAAGGAGATTTAAAAAAGAAAAATTAAAATCCATAATTCTACTTGAGTGGGAAAAAGTGGACAATTCCATTTGGGTAGGGTGGGCTCATCTCCATCGATGAGGTGGTAAAGCAAGGGTATAGCTGGAGGAAGGGGGTGGGAAGGGGGGTTCTGGACTACCTTTGCCTCTCACAGGCACCCCAGAAAACCTTTTTTGGTCACATTAAGTAAGACATGGCATGGGGGTCAACATGACAACCTGGTGAGTACCCTGTGACACAGTGTGACCCCCCTTAAAGACATACTGGCTACACCCCTGTAAAGGGAAAATGTGACAACACTTTGGATGAAGATTGTGGGTTATAAACAAATAGGCTCAGTGTAAATGGCACACCTCTTTAATCTTCTTGTTCTCCTCTTCTGTCCACTGACTGGTTGGCTTGTTTACCCCAGTTCCCCTTTTTGCCCAAAGCAGAACAGCTCGCCAAAGCTCTTCTTCTGACACTGCAAACTTTGTGCAGGAGGAGAGTGAAAATAAAACCTACTGGTAAGTCTAAAATTGGGGATGGCCTCGGGATGAAAGTTGTACCATAGGAGCCAAGTAAAACAACCACCCTCAATTAATTGGAAGAAAAATTCATGCCAGCAATTATATAGCTTGCAGTGCAGGCATCTTATAAGGGTGAGTTCATGTTATAGGCTTGCAATTGTTTATCCCACCAGCCATGTTTGATTTGGAGTAAGAGTGGATGGTGGGGTGTGGGGTGGGGGAAAGGCAAATATTTACTCCCCTATCCCCATCCCTCTCCTTAATTTTGACTGTTGCACACCCCCTTGGTGCAATTTTCTTTCTCTCCCAAGCCTTCCACTGCCATTAAAATCAAAGATGGCAGGTATAATTTTTGCTGAGAAAATACTGAGCATTTGCTTGCCAAAATCATGCCTGCTCTGCAGACTTGCAATAATAGTCTCTAAATGATGACACTTTCCCTTAAAATACAGGTAGATATTCAAGGAAGGTACCAGATGAAAAGGCTAGAATATTTATTTGAGACTTTTTTTCTCAGTTCTTAAGTTTATGTCTGTGGAATACACAGGTTCCCCTTTATCATGGTGTGGTGAAGAGGAGTTTGCACTGAAACCACACAATAACCTGTTCCAAGCATTTAGAGAGCAAAACCAAGCAAAATTAAAATTTTGGGTTGGGTTACAATCCCACCTAAACTTCTCTCAATTTTTTCACTCAGTTACAACTATGGTGGCATTTACAATTGCACTTTATTTTACTGACCAAACACTTGGAACAGGTTACCACACAAAGGCTCCTCGACCCTAACTCTTGAAGTTTGAACACCATCAACTGTTAAACTTGTCACATGTACCTGTTCACTTGACACAAGTCTGATCATTGCTGGTTTAGGAAGGAGAAGAAACCCTTCAGTTTTTACAACCTCTTCAGCATTTTCCTCCATAAATCCAATGCATTTATCCACAAGTGAAGACATGCCTCTTGCATTGAATCCCCTGGAAAGCGACATTGCATCTGCTAGAAATTCTGAAGCACTTTCAGTACTCAGATTGTCCATAAAATACTGTTCACAGGCTAACTGTAAATCAGTTATTTCCATATCCTCTGCTATTCTCAGCATTTCAAAGGCTGTGCGACTGTGAAGTTCAACCTAATAAAAGTGGTCTTTTTTTCAATTTGGGTCATCAAAATCAGGTGTAATCATGAAGAACAACTCCCTAAAAGAACCTCTTGGCCAACTATTGGCCAAAAGTTAACCCAATATTTGCCGCCAGTTTTAAGGAAAACATCTCAGCTAGGTAATCTGTCAGTAAGTTTTTGGTAACACTAGTACCGTATTGCCTTATTTATCATCCAAACTTCAGTGGATAGAGACCCTATATGAATTCTGGGGTATATCAAATACTGACAATTAAAGTTTTTGTAATGGCTGACCTGTTGGTATCCTTTTAGTTCTATGTCAGTGGCCTGTCAGCTGATAGCTGACCCACAGTTGTTAAACGGGAGCTGTTCTTCATGATTACCAAATCACGACCATAATAGCTGAAATATATGAATTTTGCATCTAGCACCGAATTTTAGGAGTAGAAGGACGCGAAAGGCATTTGTATCAAGAAGCAGATGTCTTATTCTGACAGCTAGAAAGCTGTTTCAAGTCCGAGAGTAAAAAAACATTTACCACTGAATGAAAGTGGCTTGAGGTTAAATTTTTATAATCTACAACGCTCATACGATCTAAAGATAAAAAAAAAAATCAAACCCTGTAGTTTCGCGTCACTAAACAAATAACTTCACTGCTTGTTATTCGATGTTAAATATACACAAAGTATGTACAACAATCAAAATCGATTTTCAGTGGCATTTTACGAGTTACCTTTCCGGTATACAAAAACTTCAAAACCTCGCGGAACACATCAGGTCGGAATTCGGGCTTTCTCACGGTCAACTGTGAATGAACCGCTTTAGAAGACCACAGCTCTCGTTTTCTATTCTGGAAATGTTTACATCTTGTTACCAGTATAAGCCTGTGAGCGTATATTGCAGTTTCATCATGGCCTACTAGAAACAACACATCTGCAGAGTCCCGATCGTCAATTAAATTTTGCAAATCAGACAAAAGCGCCTCTACTCCGAGCCAAGTCTTGTCCTTGGCTTGGAAGGAATCCATGTTAGGTTGGCAAACAGGGTAAAAACAACCAGGCGACTCAGGCGCTCCAATCAGTACCAACTTTCCTCGGTCATTACATGCATAGGCCTGCAATATGTACTGAGTGCAGGGAATGCTTCGCGCTTCTTACATTTACCAGGTTACTATTTTTTCCCATTAAAGGTTTAGCCCACTCGAAGAAAAAATAGAGGACACATTCACATATGAGGAAATTTTTATCAGTAGTTAAATTTTTTTGATCCAGCCAATCCAGTTGGCGTAGATGAGTATTTTTGCAAAATTCTTAAGTGTCTCAAAACCATGTGACCCTTTTGGAACTCAGTGACAGGAGCCATCTGAACTCTAATAAGCAGTAAGGATGCGACAGATTTATTCAACTTGTATCGCCATCATTATGTCTTATTGAAATAACAAAGGTAAGCATTTAGATAATTCCCTTTGTGACAGCAGAAAACTTGAAGAGATCACACTAAGCTGTACCTTCAACGATTTAAACGTGGGCCGCTGGCGCGTAGCTAAGAAAGTTAAGTAAATTTCTTTAATTCATATTCCCCAATTATGATTAGCATCTAATTCTCCTTACAATATCACCCTTGAATCAAACATTAAGGTTATGAGAATAATGGAAATGATCACTTATTAAAGAAGCTCATGATTGTTAAACAAATTCTCCTTGTCAGCACCTTAGGAAATGTATAGAGAACAGTATGGAGAATATGCATACTGATATAACGAGGTGAAGGGTTTAAGTTTAAAAACTCCTTAGCTTCAGTAGCTTTTGGGGAGCATTTTCGCATAGAGTTGTTTTTTAACTGTTCCCATCAGGCTTTGCTTCTCTTCAGGTAATTTTCCCTCGCTTTCTTCTACTTCCTTGGTTGGTAAGCATCCGCCTCGTTTCAAAATCACCAGCACATTGCAGCCCAAAACTAACGCCGCGCCTGCGATACTGTAAATATTGGCAGCGTAATCCAAGAACAGGAGCTGTAAAATGAAGGCTAACGCAATGTCCAGGGTGCGCACGAGAGCGACCACGCCTGCCCTCTCTAACTGCAGGGATTTGGTGAGGAGTGCTTGGCCACCTTGAGTAAAGTAGTTGAAACGAATTTTGTTAGAAATCTTTAAGATCGGGTGATCAATAGACAAATTCACTTGGCACACGGATCCCTCGCCCCTCCGTCCCTTCCCCCCTCATCCCTCTCCTTTCTACCCACTTACCCCACCCCTCCTTCCCAAGCGTTATGAAAAAAGATTGTCTGTCTGGTCAGCCATCCTGGAAGGGAGAGTTGTTAAAAAAAACAGGGAAAGTTACTGGTTGGAAAAGGCTGTATATCTGTTTGAAATGGGCACATTTAGCTCATGAACACTGGGCAGAAAGCATACGTTCGAGGTAAATTTAATACTACGTGTAAACAAGTTAAGGTGTAACGAAGTCTTATTCATCTCAGAGTAAATTTAAACCTACCCAGTCCACACATGCCAAGTCCAAAAAGGAACCACTCGTGCGAGTGGCCACATATGACACTCTGGAAAGAACCAGCTGCAAGAATCGCCCCTGTTGTTAAGACCACGCTGGACAGCCCTACATAGAATACTGGCACCAAAAAGTTGACGCCTTTGAGCTTTCTGATCGCGATCAGCGCAATGGACGTCAAAATAGCACCACACAGAGCAACCAGGCTAGCAGTTATCTACAACAAATAAAATGTTCGGCCGTTAGGTATGTTGCCGTTAAAAATTGTTTCTTCTTTAAGGTTGATTGAGATGTGAAATGACACGAATGTTCTATATTTTGCCTAAGCATGTCTAGGCATTTAACAATTTAACAACTGGATAATAATTTAAAAAATGTAAAAATTAATTTCGCATTTTTCAAGAAATAAAAATCACTATTTTACCTGTTCAAAGTCGCTTTCTTCGTTGGTTGGCTCTGTCTGTCTCGCAAACAAAAACGTTGGTCTAGCTATCAGTACTACGCCTATAAAGCACAAAAATGTTGCCAAAGCGTCGAAAAGGCCCCACGCCTCCTCTAACAAAAAATGCGCTAGTACTCCCGTAAATATGGGAGAAGAAAACACGATAACAGTGGCATCTGCCAGCGGCATGTGCTGGAAAGCGTAAAACTGACAGCACAGCGCCAACGTTCCCGCGATACCGCGAACGCACAAAAATGGCAAATGTTTGGTGTCTTCAAACACTGGGACTTCGCTGTAGATTAGCGGTGGAAGAACAAAAATAACTTGGACTAGACTTCGGAAGAAGACCACTTCTTGAGGCGGAATTTCTCGAAGCAGCTTGACAAACAGCGAAGAAAAAGCGAAAAATACACATGAAGCCATTGCGAAAATCACTCCTAAGGTTCTCCTTAGTGGGGAGAAATCTTCGGTGTTCTCTTTTTCTTCGGCTTTTTTCTTCTTCGGCCGAGACATCTTAAAAATAAATAACTGCAGCCTACTTCTTCCTGCTTAAGCAAACAAACTGTTTTTCAAGAAAAAAAAATTTTTGGTTTACTTGCAGTGATTCGGAATAAGCTCACCATCAAAATGCAATTGAAAACAGCGGCAGCATCACGAATTTTATTTCAATAAGCAACTAAAAGATACTTCAATATTCTTTGAAAGCCTGATGTTAAGTTCCCATGAAGATATTTTAAATTGGGTTTTGGAAACAACTGGGGAATTAAAACACTTTTAAAATTGTGATGTAAAAGTAAGGCAGGTATTACATGGTGTGCTCTTTCAATGGCTTCATTTACACCGTACATGAATATCTTCAAAAGATAATTACCTTACTGACTGAGAAGACACCTGTTTTATTTGAGGAAATCTCATCGGGAAATATTGAGGAAACTGAAACTGAACTGGAATAGAACCGTTTTAGGTTTAATTTTTGTGGAAACTGATCGTTGGGTCACGAATACTTGAATTTCTCTGATCTGAGAAATTTCAATTTTTATTTTGTTCAGGAAATGAGACAGATATAACAGAAATCTGGGCACGTAAAGAGAAAGTAACCACTAGGTCAGTGTAAGAGTCTTATCCAAACAAAATTTTAAAAATCGCTGATTATAAGTCCGCAAAGATTTCATTGTACAATTCCACTTGACCAAAAGCTGCCTGAATTCCTCAAGTTGAATCTATTAGAAAATTTGCTATAAACCACTACGAGACGCCTCCATCAGTTCGTATTTTGATTTAAACGGAACTGAACTAGGGGACTGGAGATGAATTTAACGTCCTTGCGCGCACTCTCTCGTACTTTATTAACAGTGCTGGTAATTTTGACCAATTCACCTCGCGTTTCGCACTCCCAAATCGAAAATATATTGATGAAACTTGGAATTTTTAATCGATTTAGTACCCAATTTTATGCTTTGTAGGCAGTGGGTGGAATTGACACAAATAATGCAAGGGAAGAGTTCAAACGTTTGCTCCACTCATGCAGCACTTTCTTTCTTTAACTCTTTACACCCTAACATCTGTAGGCATTTTCTCTTTACTGTTTTCTGTACATTTTCTAAGGTGTTGACAAGGAGAATTGGTTTATCAATCAAGAGAATATTTAGTTGGTAATCATTTCCTTTTTTCTCATAACCTTACCATATGATGCAGGTGTTATACTGCTGGGAGAAATTAGATGTTAGTCACTCTCAGGGGCTAAAGAGTTAATGGATCATGTGGAGAGAATCGCATAATTCATGTACCTTGCACTATCCAGACATTAACCCACATTTCCTTAAAGACTATTGTGGCAACTAAGACTTAGGAGGGTTTCTTCCAAATGTCTTAGTCTCAAGCCCCCTATTAAGGCAAACCCTTACCACCTGTGTAAATTGTTAGGTCCATATTGCCCTGTAGGTTTCTTTCCAATCATGAATGTTATGAAGCTGTTGCTATATCCATTTTTCTTTGAAATGATGTTCATCAGAATTGAAATAGATGATATTTCCAGGAAAAAAAATTTTTCCCCTAACCATTTCATGCCCTGTAGAAACCAAATGTAGAAATAAATTGCACAAAACAATAGAGCAAATGCTACTTTTAATGAATGCTTGTCAAAAGAAAACAAAATTCAACAGAGGGATGGTAAATGACCTTGTGCCCAATGATGGAACCTATCACAGTGTTCAGAAGTAATCAAGCCATATCCATTGGATTAAAACATGTTCTTGATGCTCTAACAACATGTTCCATATTAGAGATTGTGTTGTTAAAAATCCAGGAACTTCTCATGCAAAACTTGTTGCAGTTGGGGGAGCAAATCAAGTCCACTGTTGTAATTCCATAGGTTGAAAGCAATCATGTCTGTCTGAGCACACACAGGTACAGGATATAAACATGGGTCAGGCACCATCCATTCTGCTGAGTCTGTATTTAATTAGATCTTGCTCGCATCTTTCTTCGTTTACGCTTTAACCTGTGGAAAATGAATATTGAAATGATCCCAAAATTATTTCAAACAACCTATTCCCTACCATAAATTTATTACTTATGCACCTTGAATGGAGGGGATGGGGACCCCACTTGGACAACCCTGCGCGAATTTGACATTACCATTTTTTGTTCGTACAAGACAATTATCCACTGTGGATTATTCATCATATGTCAAAATTCCACAAAGTTGCTCCCTAGAACAACCAGATCTTCATGAATTGAAAATAAGAAAGAGGGAACTGGAGTGCATGGTATACAGATTGACTCTTGTATCAGAGATACTCTAAACCATGCTCTAATTGAAAGTCAAGTAAGCCTTACTGAACACTTCACCCTCCGGTCCCACGATCTCATTAGTAACTCTCCTTACTGTCTGCCATATAATTCATATGATGTTGGTTTGGAGAATTTAAAATTGGATCTGCTGATAATCCCCTAATTGATATTTTTCGTTGTTTTTGTAACTAGTCTGATTGATATTGTAATGAGAGTGCAAGGAGAAATTTGGTCTGGGTCACTGCTGGGACTTAAAGGGTTAACTCCCCAAAGCAATCGACATGCCACTACACCCCATGATATCCATCATTACCCAGAAAACAGGTAATGAGAATACTCAAACTTATCAGGGAGTTTTAATCTTGACCTAACACCAAATTCTCATAATTAGCTTACAAGGATATGTTTAAGTTCACAAGGCAACCAGGTGGACAATCAGACATAGTTTGATACCACTCTGGTTTAAAGATCTTTACTCTTATCTTCTCTTTAAACCAGAGAAGCATCAAACCATGTCTAATTTATGATGAAGTGTGCAGCAGCTAGAGGGGAAAATTAGCAACCAGATCTGGGGAGTTAATGAATTAAATATATGGGAAAGAGAGAGGAAACAATAGAATACGGTAAAGCCTATTTTCTCATTCGTTTTCCTTCAAAGCACAAGGTAGACTGAAGAAGCCTTACATACTAAACTTCTCACAGACAACTTTAGACCTGAACCCATCATCCCAGATCAGCTCTTCTACTGAACTAGACTATGCTCTTACGCCTTCATACCCTGTTACAAGTTATGAAACAGGCCAACTTATTCCATCAATTGGACCGAAAAAAGCTACACCACAACAAGCCTGCCAATCGTAAAACAAGTCATCAAACTTACGGTTGTAAATAAACTGATTTCGAGTAAAACTTTGTCACCAAGATACGGGTCCTCAGAAGTCCTTTCCGAGTAACAGAGCATAATTTAATTGCCAATGTGTTACACGAGGATGGTGTACTACGAAAGTTTGTTCCAATAGGGATAATACACAATAACAGCTAAAAAAGTGACCTGAGGCGTGTGCAATGTCGCTATATCTCATACGTCTTGTATGCATGGTTTGATTAGAGCGAGATGCGAGTACTATCTTTCACAATTTACTCTAGACAGAACTGCACTGAATCGTTATCATAAACATGAAAATTACAAGTACTAACCTTCGCATACGCTTCTTCCTCCACTGAAATATCAGAGAAAAATAACAACATGCTATTAAAATTTGTGGTAGCAAACCTCATGCATTCAGAGGACGTCTTTGTCCTTAACAACAAGTATTTTTTGAGCGAACGGTACCTACCTTGTCTCTCATATTGTTGTCCTCTAGTTTTCTGTAAAATAAAGAAACGGATTTGACGCTTAGTTAGTATCGATGGCCTAAAAGTAAAGCGATAAACATGGATTTCTTCACCGTTTCAGGGCACAAACCTTCAAACATGGAGGACGAAAGAGAACCTGCGTTGAGCAACGTGTCCCGTATGTAGTCCTGAAGATTAGATTCCAGGTTACAATCGGTTTTGTTCTAACTCCTCGGCTATGACGACCCGCCTGCACTGTACTGGAAACTAACACCTTCTTCCATGTAAAGCTTTAGATACTTTCATAGACTTCGCTAGGCCTGACTAGCTTCGGTGATATTTCAGAAAATATAAGTAATCAAAACATTTTTACAAATAAGTAATTACACTGTGCACAACTGCGACAGGAATTCAGAGTATTTATCTTAGTCAGGAGCCCATTACTTATGGGAAAGTGGGTAAGTTTCTATCGTAACTGTGGTATTGCGTCGGTGGGGGAGTGTGACAGGGTAATTTAGTATTATCAACTGAGTTTATAGCGTAAATTGGCCACCGTAAAGAGTTTCAAAGCTTTGAGCTTTTAACGTTTTGGGCGTCAGCCCCTCGTCAGAGCGAAATATATCGATGATACTAAATTACATTACATTCTGCTTTGGTTAATGATTGTGGCAATGCAGTTGCAACAGAAGAAGTTCCAGAAGGTTCACAAGTTTCTGTTATTGCCATGCCCTGTCACCCACTGTGGAAAACCGATAAAGGAATAAAAGCTGGCTGTCCAGCGAATTTTGGCTGTCCTGACGTTCAATATAGGCCCACAAGAGAGCATGGGAAATATTCTCCGATTCCCACAATTCCAACAGATGAGTGATGGGTTCTTAAATGACCAGACTAATTTTCAAGGAAGTACTCAGATTTTTTAGTCTTCTTTTCTTTCCTTGTAGTTGAGAAAAGATTTCGGCACAAAGCAAAGAAATGACATGATCTGATAGCTTCTTATGGGGTCCCACGCTCGCGACGAAACAAAAGAGAACGTCTTTCTCTATTTTTACCTGAAAATTTACCGTCGTTCTTATTCCGTTAATTCAGCTATATGCACCTAGCTACAGGCTGGACGCATGTCGTGCATCGACTTCCGCCTGATGAAGTCACCGTCAGATAGGGGGGAGTCAGCGGTAGAGCATCGGAGAGCGGAATCTGAAGGTCTGAAGGTCTGAAGTTCGATTCCACAGGGAACTCAGAACTTTTTTCTTCATCCCACGCTCATGACAAGACGAAAAAACACATTTGTTTTGATGCTTTAAAAAGCTCAAAATTTACCATATTTCTCGGTAATGTTCCTGACCCAAAAGAATTGAACTTTTTCACTGCCTGACTTGAATTCCTGGGTTTTCTGTTCACTCAAATGACCATATTCGTTGAAAAAATAAATAAAACTGCGAAGAACTGTTTTAAAAGGTTGCATTGGAAATTTCCTCAGCTTCTTTGGTTGTTTGTAGTCTCTTACTCAGACATACTCGGCACAGTCCTTCTCTCTTACCTCGATGTCCTCGAGAGGCCTGGGAGGGGTTCGGCATGAGAAAGGCGACGTTTCGAGTTTTCATCGGTCTCTCGATAAAATGTCATAGTTTACGGTAACGCCCTGATTTAAACAAGCAGCCGACGACCTAGCGGGGAGAGGGACGAGGTGAAAGTTGGCTGGCCCACACATAGGATACGGGGAAAGACTGATGGAGCAAAAATTAACAAACGAGTAAGAAACAATTATTACCTTCCAATAACGGTTGTTTACAAGCACCGTCCACCTCAGTAACAAATGATTCACCGTGAAAAATATATACAATAAAATTTGTTTCCATACGGAATATACCACATTTTCCATTTATTGCCACAACGAGGAACCTTGAATTATAAGTAGTATTCCCGCCATTTGGACCTTTGAAAAAATGTTTGTCAATTTAATAACCATTTATTCTATACTAATAAATGAATTATATATTTGATAATTGCACCTTAGTGTATATTCATACCGGGCCGTGACTGAAGTTGTCACGTAGTTTTTTCCCTTTAACTAAGGAGATGCGTTGCGTGACTTTTCGTCAGAACTACTTTAGGTCCTGTAAGTCACGTCGTGATTAGTGAGTGACTCAAACACCAGTGACGTCACATTAACCCTTAAAACCCCAAGATTGACCAGCATCTAATTTCTCCTTACAGTACTGCTGGTACATCATTTATTAAGACCACAAGAATAGAGGAAATAATTGCCAAAAGAAGCTTGGATTGTTAAACAAATTCTCATAGCCAGTACCAAATGAAAAAAATATAGAACAGTATGGAGAATATAGATACTGATATTAGGGTGTAAAGAGTTAAGGAACGTAAAAATTAAACCTTTCATCCCGAGAACTGATTAATTGTAACTTCTCTTCACAATTTCCATTCATCATCCAGAACACTGATGGCAGACAAACTAAACAAGGTGTTCTTGATGTAACAACAAATTCTCTTAACATATTTACAAAGAAACTTGTAACAGTCAGTGGGGAGAATTACTAATCAGATTCTGGGGGTAATAACCTTAGATACAATAAAAAGTTGCATTCCTCCTTACAAGGTTTTAGTCAAAAAGTCAAGAAAAATATTCCTAATAATCTTTCTTTTATCTCAAGAGATAGGGTGTGAAATTAATTTGAACACCCCAAAGGCCAAAGTGGGACTGATAAACCATAAGATTCTACCATGGCTCAAATTCACTTTGAAAATTCATACTTTCCTTTCCACATTGATTCTGAAGTTAAACATATAAGCTGTCCAAAGCATTTTTTGATTGTCACACTCAAACCTTGCCCTTTGTGACTCTATGCCAATACAGTCCCCATTTACAGTCGGGATGCCTTGAACAGGCCATAATTACAATTTATGTTTAAGGTTAAATTGAATCTTCACTCGAGAATTTCCAACTTCCTCCATGCTCTTCCTTCCTCCCTCTCTTTCCTCCCCTCCCACCCCACCCCAGGCTATTGAATAGCATGTCATTTAGGAATATTACAAAAATTTGAGAGGGAGAGAGGAAGCACCAGATAGTCTCTATTATCTAAGATAAGACGGACTTAGACAGACACACTAACGCTTTAATACCCCATTCACACCAGCAAGACATGTTTATTTTAACTGGGTTTGACCGAATGAATTCAGAAACAGAGAACTGAATTCTGAACTTTCCATAGGATCCAAGTAGTCACAAACTTGTGTTTTCAATGTGCTTAATTTGAAGTCGACTAACATCGGTTTAAGCGGGTTCTATGAAGAAAAAAGATTTAAACCATGTTTAACAAAACATTTTAAAACATTTTAAAGCTTTGGTGTGAATGGGTTATAACAAACTAAAATTTACCCATTTTTTTTTTGCAAAACAAGTTGCTCCTACATTTCGTGAGTTATAGGTTCTTGACTGTATAGATTCTACATCATTGCACATGCAATAATTCCCCCTTGTCAAAACTCTGTAAATTTAATTGTTGTAAGTTGGACTAATGATTTAGTCAAATTCCCATAGAAGCAGCCAATTTTAGGATTAATATATATATTTTCGACTGAAGTCTATTAATTCATTCAAGTAAACTAAGAACTAAGAGCTAAGAGCAGAGGCCCAAGTTTTCTCCGCTGACTATAGAACATATTTGCAAGACTCCTTTTGTGATTGCAGTAAGAAAAAAAGGAAGATTCATACATTGACATTCTATTTGCTGATCAAATTCTCCCTTGAACATAATTTAACAGAAGTCAAATCAGTGAGAACAAAAGGTACCCTTGGAGAAAGGGGACCATTGCATTTGCAACTAACCAACAGCTAATTTAAACTAAAGTTCAACACTTAACACAGCATTTTGACATTAACCTACACAACTCCTACCTTAACAATTTGCAATAACTCAATAATTCGATTTATTTCAAGTTATTCACCTTCTAAAAGGCATAATTTAATAACATTCAGTATGAATGGAAGTGTCATCTACCTATATTAACCTCATTAACTTCTTTCAAGGGTATATAACCATTCGCTCGCGGTGCTCCAGATTTACCTATGTCCTTTTGAAGTTCCTGTGTGCTTTGATTCTCACTTTTAATTTCCTTTTTTTCCTTTTGTACATTCTCTGTTGGTTTCTGGATTTCATTATCAGCCATGCCTTCTTCCTTGCCATGACCTTCCCCAGTTCCATTTTCAGCTGATTTGGTTCCATTTAGCTGCTGCTCAGAGCTAGGCCCATCTTTCTTATCTCTCTGTGTGCCCCTTCTTCTTGATGGCCTCTCTCTTCTTTGAGGTAGTGCCTCTTTGTTCTTCTCTTCTTCTTTGTCTGGAACATGGGCAGGCTCACCATTTAAACAATGATTACTACTGCTGTCTGCGTGTGTTTCCGCTCCATTCACGACAGGACCCTCAGGTAAAGATGTTTCCTTTTTGACCTCATCAGTCTTTTCAATAGAACCATTTTCCTGGTTTGTACTCTTCTTTGAATCATGATCCCTATTTTCATTGACTGCTGTTTTCGTATCCTCCTTGTCAGGTGAACCTTTATCGACAGGATCATTTTTAATGGGACCATTTTCAAGCTTCTCTCCTGGACCATTCCTCTTGTGGCCCTCTGCCCCTTCCCTTCTACCCCTTCTTCTGTCCCTACTGCGAGGCCCATCTTCCCTTCTCATTCTCTGGTTTCTTGGTCGTGAATTTCTGTTTCCTGACTGCACATCTCCCTTAACAGACTCAGGTCGTGGTGTGACAGCTTTATCACTACTCCCTGAGGATTTCAAGCTTTCATCAGCATCTACTTTTTGCTGATCAAGATCAGTGTTTTGAGCTGCGGGAGTGTCTTTATCCTTTGACCCCTCCTTCTTGTCATTTGGAATTTCAAACCTAGGACTTCTTTGTCTTGCACTCCGTTGATAAGATCTTCTAGAATTTCTATTATATTGGTTATTATATTGCCTATCTCGTTCGGAACCTCTTGCTACAGCTGACTGGTTTTGTCTAGTCCTCTCAGGCTGGTAATTCTGGTCTTTCCTTCTTTGCTGATTTTGTGATGTCTGCTGTTTGCCTGTTATGTGTGAAGCTGAATTGGACCTGTTGTTCTTTTGGTCAGGTGTTCCCTGTTTTTGTCCTTAAAAAAAAAAGAAATTGTTAAATCACTGGTCATAGACCCAGCCCTTAATTCTTGTGTTAAATTTTCATTGCCAGTAATAATAAATTTGCAATATATCATATCTTCATCCTATCAATATTGTTTCCCTCTTAAAGTTTTACACCAACTTTTTCTCTTCCCAAACATATACAAAGATAGCAAAGTAACATCTTTGTTCAACCCTTTAACTCCCTTGAGTGATGAAGACAGAATTTCTCCTCACAATATTATCACAATATCAAGCAGACCAGTGATGAGAATAAAGAGGAGATTATTAGTTAATCTGGTACCTAGTTCTCTTAATTAACATCATAAGAATTGTGTGGCAGACAGAATGGAGAATTACTAATGAGATCCATTGCAGGTTACCCATGTCCAACATTTAGTCAGGTTTCCATCAACCTCAAGAGATCAACTTCATCTAAACATGTTAGCCTATCATCATTATTGTAAAAAGCTGGTTTCCAGTAGGGGTGTGAAATAAGTATAAAAGCTAAAAACTACTTAAAATATACATAAGGGAAAAAAAAAAAAACATAACAAATAATTGTTACCCATTCAAACTGATGGGTGAAGAGAGGCACTGTAAGAGTGAAGTGTATTTCCCAAAAACACAACACAATAAACAAGACAGGTCATTAACCCAAACCTCTCCCCTGGAATGCAGCAAGCTAACCCTTAGTAGCTTCTGTCATCCACTTTTCATAAATAAAATACTTTAATCTAAAATCAAGTACCTTCCATAGGTTCTTCACTGGGTGGTGCCAAACCCTGTGAGTCAAAAACAACCAAAGCATTTAACATAATTGTTTGTCCTAGAAAACATGAAAATTACAAACTTTTTTAACAATGATTCCTGCATTCCACAGACAAATTTTTTTACTGAAGTATTTGGGCCCTATTAGGGGTTATCTGGATATGACATTTGAGTATAAAATTTGATGGATACCTGATACTTTAATGTGCAAAAAAAATTGCAAGATAAGAGATATTTAAAATAAAGGTTCCAGGATAATGAACTGGAATTATGAGGATACAATCCACAGGAATTCACAGATTGCAAGATATTTAGGTAAAAAATGAATAAGATACAGATACTCAGGACCCCGCTAATGGGGCCTTAGTGCTGCCAACTTACTTGTTGCTGCTCAGCAGATTGGAGCTTTGACTTCACTTCTTCCTCTTCTTGGAGGGCTTTCTGTGAGGATACCGACTTATCCACACTAGAAGTGGTCATAGGCAGACTGCAATTTGTAGGTGATGCCAAACCCTGTAAATCAAAAACAGTAGCAGGCCTTTAACATAATTGATTTTCTCACTGAAGTATTGAGGCTCTATTAGGGGTTATCTGGATGTTAGATATTAGAGTAAAAAAATTTGAGGGATGCAGGATAACTTAAAGCAAGAAAAAAAAATTGCAAGATAAGAGATATTTAACAGGGTGCAGGATATTCAGGTCAAAAATTAATAAAATACAGGATACTCTGGCATCCACAAATGGGGACTTACTTGTTGCCGCAGAGAAGCTTGAAGCTTTGCGTTCAGTTCTGCCAATTCTTGGAGGGTTTTTTGTGAGCATACAGACTCCTCCACACTAGAAGTGGTGACAGGTACACTGCCATTTGTAGGAGCTGATGGCAGTGGTGGCTTGAGTGAAGAAACATTTTCAGCTTTCTTATTGTTGTTCCTCTCCACTTTCTTCATAGGTAGTGATGGAGGGTTTAATGTTACAGGGCTGTAACAACTCTTTATAGGAACAACTATCAGTGACAAAAGACACAAACAAGCAAGTAAATAAAAACGATTGAAAAGTATGCAAAGGAGAAAATAAAAAAGATTGGCTATGCTACACAACGTAATAAAGTTGACTCCTGTTATTACAGACACCCTAACAGTTGAGGGTGTAATATTGAGAGTCAATAACTGGGGCTAATAAATCTGAAAAGATCCAGTGGCAAGCAGAAAAAGCTCTCATGTTTGCACCCAATTGAAGAATGGTTTCTTTATTTGCCTTTATCGTAATGTCGCTTTATATTACGCAAGTCAGGATTTTGGATAAAGTACTTAGGTGTGTGCACTGTAGTGAGAGAAAAAGCAAGTGAAAAGTCATGCTAGGGGGCATGAAAGTGTCTGCATTTCTGCTACTGTGAGAGACTGTAGTAACAGGAATTTGTATCAATCATTTCTTTCTGCATTTTACTGGGGGACTAGCCTTTGTCTGCAATGGCAAGGTGTCTGTGATAGCAAGATGTCCAAAGGGCAAGAGTCAACTGTAGTAGATTTCAATTTGTGTAAAGTTCAGTGAAAATGATATGTACTGGACCCAAGGCAACAATAAAATTGATTTGTAAATATGCATTCTTGATAACCACATCAAGTATCCATGAGAAAATCAAGATATTTCTTACCTTCACCAAAATTGGCAATCATTGATAGCAGCTGATCTTTGTCTGCCACAAAACGAGTAGTTCTGGCAAGCTCCTCATCAATTTTACGCTCCGTGACAAAATTCTAGTAAAAGTGTAAATTGCTCACAGTGAAAAACAACATCTTACAAAGACATCAACTTTATATCAACTCTCCAGCCTTGACTTCCAAAGTTGCCTTCATATTAACACTACTTAAGCTCACTGCCTTGAAAAAAAATATATTTTACATTCAGTTTACCAGATCCAACTGCAAACAGGAAGAAAAGAAGGGATTAAAAAAAAGGAAATAAAAATTTGCATTTGTACTGTGTATGATATTAGTTTGGAGAAACTGGTACTGGATCAACTTATAATCCCCTGATTGATATTTCTCTTTATTCTCATCACTTCTCTGCTTGGTATTGTATTGCAGTTGTAAGGAGAAATTCTTTCTTGGTCACTCAAGGGAATTAAAGAGTGATAACTTACTTGCCATAATTTTATGCCCTTCCTTTTTTAATCATAATCTTCTACATTTGTCTTAACCCTTTAAGTCCTGTGAGTGACCAAGACAGAATTTCTCCTTCTTATATCTAATCAATATCATGCAGACAAGTAACGAGAATAAAGAAAAATATCAATTATGGGATTACTAATTGATCTGATACCAAATTCTCCAAATTAACTTGATGAGAATCATTTGGCAAACAGTAGGGAGAATTACTGATGAGATCTTGGGAGTTAAAGGGTTAAGAATCATAGACAAATCCTATGTTGTATAATTTTTTTGGTTTGCTATTCAATCTCACCTTTATTTCACTCCTTAACTGTGTAACTTCTACCTCGTGCATCCCTCCTACTCGGTCAGATTTAAGTTTTAATGCTGCTGCATTTTCCTGTCTCTGTTCCAACAAATCAACTGCAAAGAATCAGACATGTTTTTAATTACGTCACAAGAAGCATTTGCAAATTATGGTAGCCCTTTAACTCCCATGAGTGACCAAGACAGAATTTCTCCTCAAAATATCAATACAATAACAACCAGGTAAGTGATGAGAATAAAGGAAAATGTCAATTTGGGGATAATTAGTTGATCCAGTAGTAAATTCCCTGAACTAATATTGTAAGAATTGTATGGTTGACAGTAAGGAGAATTACAAATTTGATCTGAGAGTTAAATGGGTAGTTCAAATTTTGATCAATGGACTATTCTGCAGTTTATGTCTGGCACAAAAGTTTTACCCCTTATCACTGCGATGCAATAAAACTAAGTTTGATTGTAGGTCATTACAATAAGTTAACAACTAATTAATTCAAATCATGTGATCATTTTATTCACAGATTGCCAGTAAACAAAAACCCTGAATATTAAGTCAAAAATGGACAACCAACCTGCCTGCTTTTTAAATTCAGCCATTTGACCAAGAAGATGAGCTTCCCTGTTGTTCAAACTGTGTAACATTCATAAAAAATGTTAGTTTCACCAATTTACAAGTAAAAAAATTTTATAAATATATCATACAATGATTACACCGACAAACAAAAGTTTTCAAGACATCCGTAACCCAACTTACCATTGCCGTAACTCTTGAAATATCTGAGAAATTGACTTAGTGGACTTTTCACATTCCTGAGAAAAGAATTTCAGACAATTGTCAGGCAGGTGAGAGATGAAAATGAAAAAATTCCAATGAAGCAAAACTTTATAGATGGATCTTGGAACAAAAAGCGTTTCAGAAGGCATATCCTTGTGCTCTTTCACTCAACCCTTCAATTCCCATAATCTGATCGTTAATTCTCCCCTCCAGCTGCTACACCTTTCCTTGTAAATTAGTTATGAGAATTTAGTTTTAGATCAAGACATCAACTTCTACCCTCCTCTTTGCCATATATTTAACCCCTAAACTCCTAAGATGTGGTTGTTAATTCTCCTCTCTAGCTGCTGCATACTTCCTTGTAAATTAGTTAAGAGAATTTGGTCTCAGGTCAAGATAGAAAACTTCCTTATGAGTTTAAGTATTCTCATTAACTGTTTGTTGGATAATGTATGCATTTTATAAAGAGAACTTACAGTCATGCTAATCGCTCTTAGGAGTTAAGGGTTGAGACTATTTACCTCCTCTAGGAGAAGTTGAAAGCGTGGAAGTGAAACACTGGAGCGTTGCAAATCCTTTACTGTCTTCTTGAGAGCATCAGGACCAGTAGAGATTGACCTCTCAACCTTTAAATTTGAGTGGTTGGTCTGACCAGAGGAACCTGGTGTATGCTTCAAGGTGGCCTGAGTACCTTGTGAGGAATCTGCAGGCTGGTCAGAGTTAGAGGAAGGAAGGGAGACTTCAGAGCATGATGATGATGAAGGTGGATGAAGGAGCAGAGGGTCCAAAGATTGGGGAGCACATTTCAGAGTGGTTGACTCAGCATGTATTGGCTTTTTGCCATTTTCTTCTGGTGTGACTGGTGCATCTGGGAAAAGAAAAATGATTCCTGATTAACATTTCACAGCTTTTCTCTCCCATGAGAGATCAAAGTCTCCTTACATTTTAACTAATGACAGCCTCAAACAGACAAGTAACAAAGAGTAAAAAATATTGAGTAATATGAACAAGGTGAATATCTGTCTATATGGCCTTGAGCACAGTGAAGTGAAAACAAGAAAGGAAACACGAGACAAGTTTATCCCAATGTTATTTCTCTACATGGATACCAAAACCATACAGACCATGTAATATTATGTAACCACACCCTCAGATACAATACTTGTGTAATTCCAAAACAATTTTTTAAATGCAAAATTATTTTGGAGGGCTTTTTATTTCCCTTGCAAAGTCTAAAAATCTCTTTTATCTCCATTACATGGACAATACCTTCAAGGCTGTTTTGATTCAGTTGTGAAACTTTCTCATTGTTCTCTTTTATCACAGCAACATCTGATGTTTCTGGATCATTTGTTTTTGCCTGCTTTTTCCTGTTCCTTTTCTTTTTGGCATTCTGCAAGGAAAATAACAATTTCACTAAAGGTGACAAGTAGGTTGGTGCAAGAACAAATGCAGATAAAGAATGAAATAAATTAATTAGTAAATAGAATAAGGAAGATGGTAAGTTTTGAGCTTGGTAGAGAAATGGAGAGAGATGTTTTCATGTCTTGTCACAAGCGTGGGACAAAGAAAAAATTCTAAGTCCCCATGAAGGAGGAATTGAACCCCAGAACTTTGGATTATGTGCCCTGATGCTCAACCACTGAGCCACAGAGACACTATGGTGAGCAAGGCCCATCACAAAGTTCATATATGACACACATCCTTTATACTGCGAGGATCAGCAAGGTCGTTAGCATCATGTTTTTTCAAAAGAATAAGACAGATGGTAAGTTTTAAGTAGGAATAAGAGAACAAGGGAAGCCCATGGCCACCCACTTTTTGCATTAAAAGGAAAAAGAAGACAAATGCAGCGGCATCAATGCATGGTTACAAGTAAAGTGTATTTTAGATGACTATGCCGAAAAAATAGACAAACAAACAAAACTGACTTCATGATTGCTTGAAAGTGAGAAAAACCTTTTGACTTGAAAACTATATATATTCCAAAATGCACCATATGGCAACAGATTGTATTTGAATTTTCAAAATTTAACCCTTTAACCCCCAAGATCTGATTGGTAATTCTCTTCTCTAGCTGCTACACATATCCTTGTAGATTAGTTATGAGAATTTGGTTGTTAGATCAAGACAACAACTTCTACCTAAAAAGTTTAAATATTCTCATTAGCTGTTTACTGAATAATGTAAGTATGTTATTGGGAGAAGTTTCATATTGATCACTTCTAGGAGTTAAAGGGTTTAGGGAAGGATGACTCTTGATTCCCTTTCAGCCTATTATAACCCTTTAACTCCCATGAGTGACCAAGACAGAATTTCTCCTTACAATATCAATACAATATCAAGCAGACAAATGATGAGAATAAAGAAAAATATCAAATAGGGAATTATAAGTTGATCAAAAATAAAATTCTCCAAACTAACATCACAAGAACTGTATGGCAGACAGTAAGAAAAGTTACTGAAGAGATTTTGGGAGTAAAAGGGGGGATATACCACAACTACTGCTGTTAATGGACCCCATCACTTAAAAATTTGTTGCAAAGGCCTGATATTGACCTTAAAATAGTAAAAAATACCATGGTTGTGTTGTTGGAATTGTGAGACCTATAACTGATGCCTGCTTAAATCTAAGCAGAAAAAAAAGGGTCACCAGAAGGTAACCATTATTATGTCATTCAGAGAAACCAACATGGCTCTAAAAAATTTCAACCGACGAATCGCTCTTTTTTTCCCTTATCTGGAGCATCGACCTCAGCGGCCCAAAGGAGCTATTATATTTCGTAATTCGACCAATTCCGGAAGTTGCTGACGATGGAAAACCTTCGTTTTCTTAACGGGTTTTACAAGGCATCTGATTAATACTTCAATCGTTCGTAACATGAAACTTTGATCAGTGTATTCTGAGACGTAGATTGATTAGCGATGGCCCAAGATTGCATACCGTAGTAGATTTCTTCGAAGCGAGGGAGTAATGCGCATTGCAAGACACCCAGATTTTCCGGCAGAGAGGAAAGTGAATACCTCAACTGACGTTTCATTTTGTTTCGGGCACTTTATTAGCTTAGAAATGCTGAAGAAATCTATAGCGAAAAAAAACCAGAGACAAGACTCCCTAATCACTGAGGAAAATCGTCTTAAAATTCATCTGAACTTAGATATCGAGTGACCCATTTAAATATTTAATACAAACTTTAACATCGCAGTGACGTGACAAAAATTATTCATAAACCTGAAAAAAAAATTATTTAAAAAGCGGCAAAAAGTTATTTCAATTTCTTACTTTTGACTTCTTTCCCTGGGTATTCCACTCTTTTAAGAGGTTATCGGCTTCTCCTAAAAGACAAGGAATTACATGAGAATATATCGACGAAAATTGTTGGAATTTAACATTCTTCTATGCGTAGAAACGGAGTGTTCTTGTGTCCACAGCGACTGATACTTTCCAAGTTTTGTTTCGCTTTTTGAAAATAAGCTCTCCTGTTTCGTATCAAATCGCAACTACCCATCTTAAGTTTCGACTCTCTCTGTTTTAAACCGTTCGTTTAGGAAAACGAAAAAAAATCCCACCGTTGGTAAAGCAGGCGATAGCAGCTTCGACGTCGTAATCACAGGACTGCAGAACCAAAGTTATGTCATCTTTACTTCGGAACGGGAAAGCTTCGCGGATGAAGCCAATCTGTAATGACAGCAACATGTAAACGTAAGAGGCACAGAATAAATCTAGATTTATTCACGGGTCAGCTAAATACGATGACTGACAAAGAACTTACTTCGGTCTTAGCATTAACGGAACTCCGTTCGGCGAAATTCAAGTCTGCAAGAACTCGACCACTTCGAGTGTCGAAGAAGTCCTTTCCTAGAACGCAAAGGGCATGAAATATGGTTTCAAATTTCCACCCCAAGTTTTCTACGAAAACGATCCTATTTCTTAGTAAATGGGAATTTTACGAACCTTGTTTCGCGGAGACTTTCTTCGCCATTTTCGTGCGGGGATATCGCCACCGGTGTAAGCGGTCTAACTTACCACTGCTGAGACCAGAAAACTCGCCGCTTTGATTGACAGAACAATTCTCCTTTCCAATTGATAATAAGAGTATTTCTTTCGATCAGTACCACATGAATTATTGATTTCCAAACCCCGCCGGCATCGTTGCTTTCTTGTATTTAAACGTTCTACAGAGTGTAAGAAATGATTCTTCAAAATGACGGGAGCAATTTTTTAATCATTACTAGAACATTCTGGGAAGAAAAAAAAGTTCTAAAATTTATTTAATACGTATTTTCTCATTACCAGTCTGGTTGTCATGTCAGCTGAGTTTGCAAGACACCTACTGCGTTTACCTTAACTGTTAGGTTCTTTGTTCCAATCACGGCATTCTTTTTCAGATGATCGTCTTACAAACAAGCAGATTCCATCTTCCCAAAACAAACAATCCCGTTTACAAGAACAAAATATGTAAGGTGATTTTATGAATTATTTACATCAATGACCCTTTTGTTCAATACACTGATTTACGCAGTACGCTGATAGAAGGAAATCAATCATCATTGTGTATGCTGCATACCATGAACTACTTTATTTATCACAGAACGTAAATTGAATTATTGCTTTAAAAAACTTACTTTCAGGTGAAAAACGTTCTCTATTGTCAAATTATTTTCATTAAGATTCGCTGGATAATTACATGTTTTATTTTCTACACCCTCGCGTGACCTGAAACACATGACTGGTGGTCTTCACACTTGAGAAAGCACAAACGATAACGCAAGATTCTTATCGTAGAATTTTTTCTACCTCAAACAAAGAAACTCAAGTGATCAAACCATTTTAATAATCTTTTGCTATTCTCTTCAAATAAAGGTGTAAAATCGTTTCTGAGTGATGTTATACTTTTCACTTTCTAAATTGCCATACCGTTTTGATGGAAAGCGGGCTTTCTTAGTTGCGTTTCTAGATAAATAGTTTCTCTGTTGGAAATCGCGTGCCCTAGCTATATCTTATAACATTTATTTTATCTCTGCTACATCACCGTTAGATGGTTAACCCGCAATTGCCCACAAGTCAAAGAGAGGTTTGTATGTTGCAACTTGTAACCATAAAAATTCGTTTAATTTTGATGTGGCCTCCTTCAAAATGGTTAAGGAAATCGATAAATTTTTAATAGACACAGCAGGACCCAAATTGTGTCACAGGGTCACCTGTGTCAAAAGCCAAACCACAAGTACAGCATGTTTTTATTATAATTATTGCTATGATTATTATCATTATTATTGTTTTCTTGTTGTTTTTTTAAAGATACACGAAACAACATTTGTGAGGTGGCCCATTCCGTAATCTGTACAATTCTATCAGCTTCACAATACAGCTGCTACTCCCTAGAACATTCAGATGAAGAAAATACTAAACGGCATACTGAATAGAGAGTTTTCAGAGGTGATCTTTAACCCACTCTCTTCTCTCAGCATAAAACCCTATTGAATAAATTTCAGTTGTTCTGATTTGCTGAACCATGCCTGCTCAAATAGGTTCCTTGTGCAAATTGTAGAAGATAAAAATATTTGGTGTAAACACCTCCGCTGAATGGATTTAGTTGAAATTTTGCCTTTGCATCTCTGCATGAGTAAGTCCCTTCCCTCTTGTGATGTGTTCCAGTCATTAACACCCTCCCTACAATTCATGAATGGTTAGCAATAATATACATTTTTTTTGATGTGGTTAACATACAACTTCTCCCAACAATATCTATACATTATCCAGCAAACAGGTGATAAGAATATTCAAACATATGACATAAAAGTTGTTTCCTTGATCAAAAACCAAATTTTCAGAACTAATATACAAGGAAATGTGTAGCAGCTGGAAGGGAGAATTAACAATCAGATCTTGGGAATGTAAGGGTTGGAGGGGAATTCCTGTCACATGATGTGTGCTCAGCCTGTAAGGTAGGAAGTTTCCCGTTTTCTTAATACAAGTCAGCTATGGTTAACCAGAGTCATCTGAAGTCCCACTGCATGAAAACCACAAACCATAGACTGAATTGATGGACAGAATGCTCGAAGGATAAAAATTTCAACAATTACTGAAAATGAACTGCTGTCACTTTCTTGTTAGTATTTTATGGAGAGTATGACAATGTAAAGTCTATGGCAAAAATGATACGACTGAAATTCAATTGATGTTTTTAGGAGGTATTGCAACCCAGGTTAGTGTTGAATACAATGTTAGTACACTACTGTAAATTAGGTGAGTATGGAAAACAATGAGATTAGTACACTACTGTAAAGGCCAGGTGAGTATGGACTGAAAAATCAAGGTTAGTAACTACAGATATTTAGAGAAAGATATTTTTTTGTCTTGTCTGGAGTGTGGGACAAAGAAAAAATTCTAAGGCCTTATGAGAGATCAAACCTCAGACCTTCAGATTCCGCGCTGAGGTTCAATTCCTCAGACTCACAATTTTTTCTTTGTTCCATGCTAATGATAAGACAAAAAATATCTTTCCCTACTTATTTATCAAGTTCAAAACTTGCCTTCTCTCTTACTCTAAAGATACTTATTATATCACCGTGTTCATAGAAAGAAGGAAGATTTCAGTTCAAACAAACATTGTGTTTAATCTAAAAGGGCCATTACTGAAGGGCTTGTTCAAGCAAGTAAGAACCACAGTAAATGGTTTGAACACGGGGGTAACATGTAATGGTGTAGTTTGATCGTCCGGGTGAGTGTAGTCCTGAGAAGGACTCTTGTCGTTGATGGTGACTGACATTTCGACAACCTGAGCGGAAGTCATCATCAGAGTCAAGCTTCCAAAGTGACACTGATGATGACTTCTGCTCAGGTTATCGAAACGTCAGCCACCACTACCGACAACAGTCCTTCTCAGGACTACACTCACCCGGACGCTCAAACTACACTATTACAAGTAAGAACTGTAACCCAGATGATATTGTTATGAACACCTTATTACAATTGACTCAAATGGGGTTGACAAGATGTTACTTTATTTCAATTTGTCACTTTGTGTGCCAGGGCATTATAAAAGCAACCTGCAAGATGTTATGAACTAATAACTCAATTGAAAGTTGTCTAGAAAAGTTCTTCCACATGTCTTTTTTTTTTTGGGGGGGGGGGGGGGGGAAGGGGTGATGTTAAAAAAGACAAATGAAACTTCAAATCAACAAGTATACAGGGTGATGTTTACTAAGGACAAATATGCTTACTAATAGCAATATAGCGCAGCGATTTTTCTTTGAAAAAAAAAAATGACAATAAAAATTCACATCTTGAGCAGCTGGCAAACAGCTACTTAACTATGAAGTATGAGACTGTCCAAGGTTTGCTTTTCTAGTCAACAGTTTATACAATTTACTATATGCACTATTATTGAACATAACTACAACACTATTCTTGTAAAAAGTCTATAAGAATCTTTGGAATAGGTAATTTTAAAAGCTTCTCTTTATCCTTCACCCATTTCAATACTTCAGTCTTGCAAAGTTCTTCTAATGTTGCCACTATATAGTTTAAAAAAAAAAGGAAACAAAATAAAAATGTTATGCAGAGATATCAACCTATAAAATTCTGAAATCCAGGCCCTAGTTGTTCAAAGAGTGGACTAAACTATCGGCTAGATAAATCTCTATCTAGTGGATTATGACGCATATTTTGTTAACACTAATCCACTGGATAGCAACTTAACAGTTGGATAGCGTTACCTACTTTTCAAACAACTGAAATAGCTCATGTATATATATATTTGAGGATTGCATCTCCACCCCATCTATATTTTTCAGTAATTTGACTACTATATTTCTGTCTCCTCTGATAAAATGCGAGAACACACAATTCAAAACAGGAACACAATTAACAAAAGTACAACATTCAAAAGAGAAGATATTTGTTTGTCTCACTAGTATGTAGTCATTTTAGATGTGGATGCAACATTTTGACTGCATACTGCTAGTCTTCTTCAGGCAATGAGAGCAGCTGACTTTGTTACATAGAGTACCTTCCTATCTTTTTACCCCTTTAATCCCTAGGAGTGACTAGTTTATAAATCCTCCTTACAGTACCACCCTTCAATCAAATGTCATGAGAATAACAGATATGATCACCAATTTAAGAAGCTCCTGAATTCCCCTTGTCAGTACCAAAAAAAAGTTAACCCTTTAAATTAAATCCCTGATCAAATTTGTAACTCTCATTACTGTCAAACATACAATTCTAACAATGTGAATGAAAGTGATCCTCACAGTAATGTGCACTACTTAGGCAGTAGTGAAAATAAGGCCTGAAAAAAATTCAGGCCTGTACGGGATTTTTTTTTTTCTTTTCAGGCCTTATTTTCACTACTGCCTAAGAAGTGCACATTACTGCAAGGATCACTTTCATTCATGTCTTTATCCGCAGTTCAAATATATGACTTTCATATATTCTTAACCATTTAATTCTAACAATGATAGTTCAGAGAATTTAGTATTGGATCAACTAATGATCCCCTGATTTTTTTTCTTTATTCTCATTACTTTTCTGGTTGATATTGTATTGATATTGTAAGGAGAAATTCTCTCTTGGTCACTCATGGGAGTTAATGGGTTAAAAAGAGAAGAGAGTGGAGAATATGAATACCAATCCTAGGATAAAGAGGGTTAAAAAAAAATCCCAAAGCCAAACTTTTTGGTTGTTAAAACTCCAGTTACTATCTAAACCATAACCCCATTTCAGAACATCCCTGACCCCATTTTTCTCCCAGAGGTGATCAACAATTAACTTCTCCCAATAATATCCATATATCATCCAACAAACATGTAATGAGAATACTCTAACTTATCAGGTAGAAATTACCTTGATCTAACACCAAATTCTCATTACATTACAAATATAAGAGGAAATGCGCAGCAGCTATAGGGGAGAATTAACAATCAGATCTTGGGAGTTAACCCTTTCACTCCCACAAGTGACCAAGACAGAATTTCTCCTTACAATATCTATACAATATCAAGCAGGTAGGTGATGAGAATAGAGAAGAATATCAATTATGGGATTATTAGTTGATCCAATACCAAATTCTCTGAACTAACATCATAAGAATTGTATGGCAGATAGTAAGGAGAATTACTTATTAGATCTTGGGAGTGAAAGAGTTAAAAGGTTAATCAAGTCACTCAATTAAACATACATTAATTTCAAGTTCAAACCATTCATTGTAAATTAAATTACTCAGTATACATTCCTACCTCCAAAGTACTTTACAGACACCTGTTTTGTCCTTCCATAAACATCAAATACAGCATAAATATCCTTTTTTAAAGGTATTTGAGTCATTGCAGCTCCTTGATTGAGTCCATTTACATAATAATTCAAGTTCCCATTGCCAGTCACTTGAACTCCTAAAACGTCGTTAACTTTTAGCGAGTGAATACTGAAATTATATTCTTTTTCTATCTCCCCATTGTGGATACGAGTTCCAGACAACATCCAGTAATCCTGATGATCAGCAGTAAACAAATCTGTTGCTGCTCGTACTATATTTGTGGAGGGACAGTTAGGATTGCACGTTGTTATTCCAAATCTCTGCATGATAAAAAAAATGTCAATCAGTTTTGATTCCTGAGAGCATCTAATTTCTCCTTACCATATCACTGCTGAATCACATATTAAGGTCTTGAAAAAAAAAAAAAAGGAAATGATCAGAAACTAAAGAAGCTCTTCATTGTAAATTGCCAGCACCAGAGGGATTAAATGGAGAACAGTGTGCACAATACGCATACTGATGCTCAGGTGTAAAGAGTTAGCCCTTTTACCCTTTCACTCCCACAAGTGACCAAGACAGAATTTCTCCTTACAATATCAATACAATATCAAGCAGGTAGGTGATGAGAATAGTGGGATTATTAGATCCAATACATTCTCTGAACTAACATCATCAGATAGTAAGGAGAATTACCTGATCTATAATATCCATTCAGATGATGAAACTACTCAAATTTATCAGGTAGAAGTTGTTACCTATATCTAATACCAAATTCTCCTAACTGATTCACAATGAAAAGTGTGGCCGCTAGAGAGGAGAATTAATAGTCAGATCTTGGGAGTTAAGGGGTTAACCTTTAGAGCTCCATGGTAAAAATCAATTCTCACTTCCTTGTTGGCCTGCTAGCAAGCTTTCTTGCAGGTTGTAAGAATCTCTCAAGAGCTTGCTTGCAGGGTACTTACAAGTGATCTCTTTTGATTTCCCTCTTCATCCATTATTAGTCATCAGGAAATTGTTTTGCTATGATGTGATCATTTCCTTGATTCTCATGAAAATGTATCAATACGGTGGGAGAAATTAGATGGTGATTACTTTGGGACTTCTGGGGTTAAATAATGACCATAATACTTTATGATGACAATAATGAGAGGGCTGCAAACAGACCCAAGCCTCTTATTCTTTTAATTTGTATGCAGCTGGTTTTGATGTCTAAATGAAACAAAAAGATCCCTACAAACAAATATGTTGAAAAATGTATTTAAATGTACTTATCATTTCTTTTTATTTCCGAAAAAAAAAAAGAGAAAGTGAAATAAAAATTAAGAAGTAATTCATAAATAGTTTACAGAAATTTTATAATACATATCACAATTATGCGATTGGTTTAGCAGATTCATTCAGATAGATTCTAGTGTACTACTCGACCTGAGATATTTCTCGCAGATTATGAAGCAAGGAAGGCTAAATGTATTTAAGGATCGAAGATAAAAACAGATGCATGTAGATCCTACCTTCTCGAAGTTTTACAATGTAATATAAAGCTATTCAATGAGAATTAAATTATCATGATGTCTCTCCCTCTCAGTGTTTTATTAATCAAAATTACTTAGTAGTTGTCCTATACAATTAATTTCACCCTTACATACCAGAGATCCTGCCCATTTTGATTCCAATTCTTCGATTTTGAGCTGAAAAATCTCCCCAATGTGCAAAGGCCTATCACTAAATACCATTCCATGGTCATATGTATCACCCTCTCTGGCAGCCCTACGTTTGTCACTAGTAAGTGTTATATTACGCCCGCGCTTATCGTGCAAACCTATAACCCATTTCTCCGGAAGAACAGGCATTAATGTTGTTTTTTTCCCAGTCAAAAATACGTTGAAAACTTCGAAATCTCCACGCAGAACATCATGTGTTTACGTACTCGGTAGAAGACGCTGTGGCATGAGCTCTTATGGAGACTGGGGACAAGACGGAGACGTCATAATTAGGAAATCGTTTCTTTTTTCACCCATTTTGTTTGTTCAATTTCAAATTCATGTCGTAATTAATTTTTGATGGATTTTCACCATATAATATGGAAAATAAGAAAATATACCGACATAATCAGAAGAAAAAGCAAAGAACTCAAAGACATTTTTGAACTACTAGCCTCTACGGACGCAGAAAGCGCATGCGCAGGACATGAATCTAAAATGGCGGACGGAGCAGACGAGGTAAGTTTATTATATGTCGATAAAACTCTTGGAAAAAGTCACTCGCTTGTGATAAATGGTTCTAAAATAAAATTAAATAAGATATATATTTTTTTTCAAAAAATATTAGGAGGAGGAGGTGTTTGAAATAACAGATTTTACGACTTCTTCCGAATGGGAAAGGTAGGCTTTTTGACTGATTATGAGATTGAATTAGCCTAATATTTTGTAAATATATATTTTAATTTTTAAATGAAAATTTAGCGATTGAATAGAAAAATGATGATCGCGTCTCTTTCATTACTTATCAGATCTGTTAAGTTGCAGTCTACACATGATAAGCTAGCCTAATTGTTAACCAGGATCAAAGTTATTAATTTATCTATTTGTTGATTTATTTTATCTTAAAATTATAATAGCCAAGATTGATATAAATTTTTCATAATTCTCAAATTATTATATTAAATATTTATGAACAACTATTTATTAATTATTTTTTAATCAAAGTGAAAGCAAAGATATTGATTGGTAGAAATGGATTCATGTTTTGTTTTGATGATCACCCATATGTAGAAGCAAACAATTGAAAACCAATGAGGGAAAGGTGAAGTGTCTATGCTCATGTATGCAGCTAGTAAAGCCCATATGTTGGTCAACAAGGGGTGTTAGAAAAACTAAGTCTTTGGAGACTTACACCTCAATCCTCCTAAAATCTTGGGCCCTTATGTGTTTTGAAAACTCATGTAACAATGTCACGATAGCCTCTACAGGCTTGTGCAGTACAGTGAGACCTGATATATCCTGAATGTTTGCACACATGTTATGTTATGTATTTTTGCAATGGTCAATGTACAGTTACCTTAAAGTTGTTTTGAATATGAAAGAGATCTTTGTAGTAATGAACACTACTTGAGCAGTAGTGAAAATAAGGCCTGAAAAATATTCAGGCCTGCAAAGATCTCTTTCATATTCACGCCTTTACCTGCAGGTCACATATACGACTTTCATATATTCACAGTTGTCTATTCACCACTTCATGGGTTTATTTGAAACCAACATGATGACCAGCTCCCAGTTGGCTTGTTAGCTCAGTTAGTAGAGCACTGCACCAGTATCGCAGAGGTCATGGGTTTAAATCCCATACAGGCCTGAATTTTTTTTCAGGCCTTCATTTTCACAACTGCTCAAGTAGTGTTCATTATTGTGAAGATCTCTTTCATATTCATGCCTTTATCCGCAGTTCAAATATATGACTTTCATATATTCACAGTTGTTAAAATTGTTTTGTTATCTGACTACATTGCAACTCAGTCCCCCTAAAACTCAGGGATCAGTGTCACCATCTGAGTAACTGTGCACCTACCCCTCCCCTAACCCAACCTTAACCCTAATGTGTTATCAATTGGCTGTTGTTGGGTTAAGGGAGGGGTAGGTGTGCAGGTATCTGGGGCCTGGGTTTTTTTGAGAGTCTAAGGTGAGTTTTTTCTAGGTCTGAGTTTTCACAAGATGTGGTCAGTAATATGAAGATTATAAAATTAAAGGCCTGTTGGCCCATACTTCCTGTAGCATATCCCAGGTTCTTCATTCTTTAGGAACTTATGTGTGTCCCTGGTTTTGGATAGGATTCAAGTCTTATGCATCAACCCCTTGAAATATGGCTGCCTAGAAAGTTGGCTACTTCCAGAAATTGAAGGGAGGCTTGTGGAAAGAACACAACACAATTATCCAAGCAGATATGATCATCCAGTAGTAACATGACCACCCCACTTACCACAGGGTTACCATTTCCTCTATAAAAATTTTAATCAATGGTTTGGGGGAGACATGTGGGAGACATGTGGGAGACATGGGGGAGACATGGGGGAGACATGGGGGAGACATGGGGGAGACATGGGGGAGACATGGGGGAGACACGGGGGAGACATGTGGGAGACATGTGGGAGACATGTGGGAGCCAAATTATAATCACATTAGACTCAAGGTCATGAGGTGTAGGTTTAAGACTTGGCCAAGTCATTGTGTTGTGTTCTTGAGTAAGACTCTCATTCTAGTCTCACTTTCCTCAGAGTACCACTCTCCACCTAAGAGTATAAATAGGTGGAGGTGGACTGTTAGGGAAGCCAGGGGAGGGGTGAGATGGGATAATTAGTCTACTGTAGATAATAACATGCTTTTGAGTGCAATTTGGTGTCAATAAGCACGAGTAATTTTTTTAAAGAGTGGGCGAGTACAATTTGTAGCCTCAGAAAATTTACAAGTGCTTATTACACCAAGTTTCAAGAGAAATTATGTAATTCCTTGTTAATGATAAACATAAAAAAAAACATCACAGAAAAGGAAGAAGAAAAACAAAATTTGGAAAGCATTTGAATGCCATTTTTAATTTGCACTTGTGTTACAATTTTGCACTCATATTACAACCTTGCACTTGTGTTACATGAGAATGCACTCAATTTCAACCAATCAGGGCACTTAATTTTTTCATGTAAATTATTGTTGCTAAAATACTCCCTTGAGTGGCAAAAATATTTAACTTTTCTTGCATGTGATGAAACTTGAAATTTAAGTTTATGTGCTTTTTTTTTATATAATTTGCCAGAAAAAAGTGAAATATGCAAGTTAAAATGATTGTATTATTTATTTAGCTTTGATAATTCTTCCTATGGATGTGAATCTTTTTTACTGATTACAGGTTTGCTGCAAGACTAGAACAGCTTCTTATTGAATGGAAATTGGATGGCACAAACAAGAAAACATCTTCTTCAAAGGTATTCTTAGATTGGTTACTTGTTAAAACACTTTGGTAAAAAGTTGTTGAGCTCTTCCATCAGAAATTAATTTCTCTGGAATTTTAATCAATGAAAATTTATTTAATTACTTTCCATGAAATGTAAAATAGGGTTCATTGTAATGTCTTCGAGTGAGTTTATCAATCATTCATGTGATGTAGGTTTTAATTTGTTTTTTTTTTCTTCAACAGGGAAAAGGAATATCTGGGAATTTTGAAAAGAGTAAACTGAATCCTATTCCAAGTAAAAAGGATAATTCAGAGGTAAGTTTTAAACATTCATTTGACAAATTTTGATTAACCCTTTTATTCCCAGAAGTGATCAACATGAAACTTCTCCCTGTAATGTCCTTACATTATCTAGCAAACAGGTAATGAGAATATTCAAACTTATCAGGTAGAAGTTGTTTTCTTGATCTAACACCAAATTCTCATGATTAATTTACAAGGAAATGTGTGACAGGGAGAGGGGAGAGTTAACAATCAAATCTTGGGAGTTAAAGGGTTAATGGTTTGAACCCAGGAGTAACAATTGATCATGTATTCTTATTGTCTGTTGAGAGTAGTCCTGAAAAAAAAAAAAGGAATGTTGTTGATGATAGAGACTGATCAAAAGTTTTTGAAAATGTAAGAGATAAGTTACCCATCATCTGAATCACACAAGAACCCTTGATTAATTCTACTGAGTGTTAATGGACTCAAAAACTATCCTGGCAAGTAAATCCTCACTTGACTCTGATGATGACTTTTGCTCAGGTTGTTGAAACATCACTGAGTGCCTTTTACTGACAACAGTCTTTTCCAGGACTACTCTCTCATGGATGATGAGACTAAGGTTGTAGTTCAGGAGAAATTTAACTTATCAGTAATTCTTCTTTGTTTTATTTTTCTGTTAATTCCAGCAACAAGAGGGAGCTTGGGGTGTGGTGTCAGATAAAATAGCCTTTGGAAATTTCAATTTTATTGTGGCATACCATCGCTTGAGGACTAGGAGGCCAAGAAGGAATGGAACAAAGCAAACGGATGGTGAGGGTCAATGACCCAGAGTGGTCCTTCTGCACCAACTTACTAGTAGCTGTTTGTGCACTGATATTCAGATTGAAATCTATGGGGTGGTGTTCTTGGGGCAGGACTTGCAACTTTCAAAGTACTTCTCTCCTCTGAGGAGTATAAATTTGTTCCAGCCACAGATCAAAGGAAACTGACCAAATCCTGAAGAGTAACCCCAGGAAGGACTGGAATCTTGTCTGGGCGGGGTTGGGAGGGAGGGGGGGGAGGGGATAACATTAGTCCTAATCACTTGTTAAGAACTGAATCCAGGACAAGCCTAAGTGGAGGGGGGTCAGGTTATAAATATGACTTTGCCTGAAACACTTCCCTTTCAAGAAGACTTAAAGGCTACAATTTTTACAAATTTTTCTTTTCTACAGCATTCTCCAGAAACACCATCCAGTAGCTGACATTTTTTCTGGCTTCTAGTTTCTGAAGCACTGGCTACTGTTATCACACAAGGCATTAATATACCTGATTTGATCTGGAATAAATTTTAATGTTCGTTGACTATTGTTTTGTTTTTTTTTTACTGCTGGTTATTAAAAAGTCTGAAGAACACATTTTTAAGAACTCTAACCATAGAACCACAAGAACCATTAGCACAAAGGTGCCTGAAGCAACATTCTGTTTATGTTTCAGATTTTGAAGATGGTTTACCAGATGCTATGATGGAAATGTTTGATATGGAATTTGATTTTCCACCAAGAACTCACTGTCTTAGCAGGTGGTAAGTGAAAGATCAAGAATAAATATGCCATGACTTTAAAAGCTATTTTTTCATTATATAAAAGGGAGTAAGTTTCTAGAGAAACTGTGGTGTTGTGTCAGTGGGGGAGTATAACAAGATGATTTGGTTTTATTAGCTGTGTTGATAATGTAAATTGGCCATTGTAAAGAGTTTCT